CCATGGGAGGCCCAGAGGGGCACATTTTAGAGACAGTCTGGGAATTTGTGAGTTACGAAAAAAAGGTGAAGATGGCGGTTCAGAAGTGCTATCTGACACACCCATCGAGTTACCCAGTAACTCCAGTAGAGCCAGAACTAAGGTCTCATTTTACTTAAGCGAAGTGTTAACCCTCAGTCAGTGATCTGTTCTAAAGGGAGATCTGACTTCTCAAAGGGAGTGAACACAGGCGGATCGTTCCTGGGTGGTTCTCTGGCCAGGAGAGTTGGGCCTACATTTGCAAGGGACCCTTTCCTGGTTTCCTTTCCTGCCTGTCAGCGCTCAGGTCTTATTCCACAAGAGCAGAAGCCCCCAGGCCTGCTCACACTCTAGCTCCACACACCCCCAGGGAAGGGAGGGGGCTTTCAATGCTGGGGTCCCTCATCATTTATCCCACACCATGGGGATGCTCTTTGCCCCATCCTCAGCGGGAATTAGCATGACTACAGGGCAAAGAATCGAGGAAGGAGGCGGGGTAGTGGCCCTCCCCAGAGCCAGGCCAGCCCTCCACTTCTTTCCCTCCACTCGCTGAGATTCCTAAAAGTCTGTCGGGGGTGGGGGTCTTGGTTTTGTTGTAGGCGGTTTTCACGTCTATTCTGAGCCAGATCCCTGCAGGGCAGATGCTAGTGGTCTACCAGCTAGGGCACCTCCCTCTCCCTTGCCCCCCGCCCAGCCTGTGCGAGCATGCACAGCTGTCTCCACAGGACACACTTCTGTGCCTTACTCTGTTTATCACGCAAACCTCCAGAAGGCTGACTTCAAGATGAGAACTGACAGCGCAGAATCTCCGACGTGGACCTGTCTGGTGCTCAAATCCCTTTGGCCCCTTCCGCCACAAACCCCCGACTGCCCTCTCCCGCTCAGTGACTAAGGAGAATGACCAAATCATCTGGCCCAGGTCCGTTTTGAACAATTTTTATTATACGTTTAGTGTTCTCTATACAAAAGAAATCAGTTTTTTTTACAGTGATTCAAAAAAAAATTTGAATAATTTGGCCTTTTCATCGCTCATGCAGTCAGTTTATAAGTCCATGTATTAGATGGTTCTCCAGGGCCCCAGTCTTCCCTGCTGAAGGTTCGCATGACACCCTCTGACACGCATCTGTCGCTGACAAGGTTGGTTAATGAAAAAATAACTCGCAGAAAGGAAAGACCACATGTAAGAGGGTTAAACAAAGTCTGCCATGGAGTTAAATATTCAACCAATGAAAAAAGCAAATCTGTGGTGTGTGGGGGGAATGGAGACCGCGGGAAACATTGGGGTGGTGGGGAGAGTGGGGAGGAGGTGGGTCGGGGTCTTCTGGGTCCAGCGAGGTTTGGGGGGAGGGCAGGTCTCGGGGTCAGACTCCAGCGCGCGAGAGAAGAAATTGGCAAAGAGCTGGGCGCCGGGCGGAGGGACAACACTGCGGACTTGCGTTTGGGAGTCAGAACAGAGGAGCAGGGCCGGGGATCTGACCTGCATTGTTTTCGAATAAAGAAACAGTAGTGCACAAAATTCTGGATTCTTCTCCCAGATTTTTGTTGTTTATTGCTTCACTGAAGTCTTTACCTGTGCTGAACTCCAGCCCGGCAGATCCCACAGGCCCTGCGGCTGAGCAAAGGGTGCACAGTAGGCCCCCTCGTCCTCACTCTGGGGGACACAGCGCGCTGGGGCCGCAGTGTTAGGAAGCGAGGGGCGCTGCACAGGGGGACGGTCTAGGCTTCACAGTCACACATAGCTACCAGCGCCTCCTCTCCTCCTGGACGGCTGGGCTCTGACTGATATGGCCAGGTTCATGGAGCTGTCGCAGATGGGTCTTGAGCTCAGAAAAATCCTTTGTCTTTCGTTTTGGAAGGTACACGTAGGTGTGAAGGGGTTGTGGAGAGCTCTGAGAGGGTGAACCACCAGAACAGATCTTAAGTCACCCCTCTGCTGCAAAGTGAGGGGCAGAACACTGGACAAGGAGGCGGAGGCTGACTTCAGGCCCTACCTCACCTTGACTTAGAGCCCTGTGACCTTGGGCAGAATCCCTTCGCCTCCCTGGATTTGCTTCCTTGCGTGTGCGATGAGTCATCCAGTTAGATCAGCCTGTGATTCCTTTGCTGAAACTAGATCCTGCCCTAAAGCTAGATGCCTCCGTACCCATATCTCATCTCCACCCTATTGTTATGGAGCAGCCGAGTAATACTACTGTGCTGACCAAGGAGCACCGGTTCAGGTGTGTCTTGAGACGCTGTTTACTGGGGTCTGGAGCCTTCCCTGGCTGGCTGTCCTTCCCCACGATCCTTCCCTGCACCTGTCTCAGGAAGGCCCATTCCTAGTGGGGGAGACTTGGGGGGCACTGGCTTGGGACGTGCAGGCTGGAGTCAGCTGTAAGGCCCTGCCTGCCTAAGGAGGAGCTGCCTAGAGGCTGGGCTCTGCCCACCTCGCTTGCATCTCCAGGGCACTAAGTCACCTTGGGATATTTCAAGCTCTTTGTTTCATTGGTCTGACTTCATTCTCTGGTAGTTTTGAAAACCGGGGACTTCCTATATTCTACTCCTCAGCCACCATGCAAAGTTCAACCAGGTGATCTTTCCCGGGGGCCTAGCTGGTGTGTGTGGCAGAGGCTGTCTCAGCGGTGACCAAGGTATCGACAGGAAGCAGTGTGTGCTCTGGGCTGGCACCCCAGGAATGGTTGCCCCCCACTGAAAAGTGATTCCCTGGCAGCAGCTCTAGGCAAAGGTCTGGGGAGCCTGAGCTCCCCAGTGTCAGTGAGGCAGCAGTGCACAGATTGAGGCAGAAACGTGTTAAATCTCCATTCCTGTCACATCACACGAGCGGTTTGTGAGGCCCCGGGATTTGGCTCTAACCAGGGGGAGCGTTAAACAGCCACTTCCCTGGGCTGTTCCAGGGTGATTCCCTCCCCAACAGCTCAGAGTCTCCCTTCTGCCTGCAGGAATTGCTCGAACAGGGCCCAACTTGACCAGCCTCTTGTCCCTTCCCCCAAGATGTGCACTGCACCCCACTTAGCCCTTAGTATCTCCATGGGCCTGGACCTCCCCCCTCCAAGACAATGTCCTCTCTGGATTGTTCTGATGCTGCCACCCTGGGATGGGCCCTGGTCTGCTTCATGTGTGCATGTGTCCCCGTGAGGGTGCTGGGTGGGGGCGCAGCCCTTAGATGAACATCAATATCCTCGGCTCCGTTTCTACCCCTTTTCTGAGGTGAATTGTGATCAGAGAAATTCTGGAACACTATCTGGGCCCCGCTGCAGGTGCCCCTGGTAGGGTAAGCACTGTTGGCACTGGCTGGCGCTGGGGCAACTGGACACCCCTTCAGACCCTGGGACTCGCCAGGAAGGGGTGGATGCCTCCAGCCAATATGGGCAAAGGGACATGATGAGGGGCACGGGAGGGAAGAAGCGTGTCTGGTTCTCATCAGCCCGAGCCCAGCCATCTCCTCAAAGCGAGCCAGGCAGAGACAGGGTCCAGTCACCATTGTCTGGGCAAGGTGGGAGGCCGCGGCCCCTGGCCCTGCAGGGGGGTACACCCCAGACACATCCCTGCTCCTTCAGATAGGGCCATGCCCCTCTGTGGGGGAGGTATTCAAAGGAGTTGAATAGGGGAGACAGAGGCACCAAAATACAGACAAGTGAAGCAACTTGCCCCAAGGGCAGAGCAGAGAGGCTCAGGAAGCAGAGCTGTTCCTCAGGCACCACCCCTCCTCCACCGTGTGCCCTCCCTGTCCAGCCTTGGGGACCCAGCCTCCCCAGAGTGCTCCCAGGTGGTGCCCACTGTGTCCCAAGACTCAGTTCCAAGGCCCCTCATCCTGGTGTCCAGGGTCCAGGGCCTGACTAGACAAGATGTTCAAGAGCATCTCCCAGCAAATGGGCGGCTGGGTGAGAGCCGGGGGAACCGCTCTCAGGGCTGAGCGTGACAGGCGGGGTCTCGGCACAATGGAACTTTCAGAGTCACCGGGAATGACCTGCACTTCCTCCCCCAGCCAGGCAGCTAGAAGCACCAAAGGGATCGCCCTCTCCTGGCATTGCTGTCACTGTCTGGGGTGGTTGCTGGAGTCCAGCTGGCAGGAGGTGCCGTGCAATACTGCTCTCCTGGTGGACTGGGCAGCAGCCTGGCCAGGTTTCCACGGAAACCGGGCTGGGCTCCTCCTGGTAGGGCCGCGTCCCCACCCCTCTCACCCCTCTCTAAGCACCTGCCAGCCTGCAGGTCTGGCTTTGCTCCGGCCTGCCAGGGGACCAGGAACTCAGGCTGCTGTCAGCACCTCACAAGGGGAGGCCTCCAGAGGGGGCTGACGACATTCTTCACACAGGGAGCTGGAACAGAAGCTGGCAGAACTGGGGCGAGGACAAAGACAACGAGGACTCTCCTCTCCCCAGGGTCTCCTTAAGAACCTGACAACAGCAGAAGCCCTTCCCCAGTAATCGTCTGTGTGGCAGACCTTCTAGAAACAGGGGAGGGAGAGGATGACATCCATGGTCCTTCTTGCCCCGAGGGCCTGTTTGGGTGGGATGAGATCACGAGCGCTTGGTGCAGAATGGGATGAGGGCCTGAGAAACGGATACTCTGCTCAGATCCAGAGAGCTTTCTGGAAAGGCCAGCCCTTTAATTCAGCTTGCGGCACCTGCCCCAACATTCCCTTCATGGACGCTGGGCCCAGGCTGCAGGAAGCCCAGCCAGCTCCCAGCAGGTGCGGGGGACGTGCTGCGCTCACCCTAGCCGTGCTATTTACCTGTGCCCCTGCACATGCGAGAGTGGCCCTTCCAGCTTACAGGCAGCAAACCTGACCATGACTTGGGGCAAAGGACAGCTACTTGGCTCAGGCTCAGACTTCCTGGATCAGCTCGGGGCTGGGGTTTCCACCTGCAGACAGGGCACGTGCGTCTGCAGGCTCGACCTTCAGCTGACTTATTAGGTGATGCAAGCATTGCTAATACCTTTGCGGCTTAAACATGTGGCAAATGATGCTGTGTAGTGGTCTCTGAAGGACGCAGCCCTGTGCCTGCCCAGGCCCCTGGCAAGCAGCTGGAGGCACAAATCAGCGCCTGTGCTGTGGAGGTGGCCCGGCCTCCGGGTCAGCTTCGCTCTCCTGAAACCGACTCCAGCGGCAGCCACAGCTAAAGGGTTGCTTTAGGCTCACAACGTCTCTCTCTCTGAGGCTAGGTACCTTTGGTTTCAAAAATGAATTAGGTGGGAGGCTGAAGGCAGCGCCTTCATCTCTGAGAACTGCGGGGCTGCGAACGTCTCCACCGGGGCCACAGGCTGCCGGGCGCCGTGGGGCGGCGGCCTCAGCTCTGCTGGATGTGGGCAGAGGCGCCTGCCCTGCTCTAGAGACAGCGCCACTGGAGGCTTCAAGGCTTGCAGGGGGGAGCTGGGAACCTGGGAACGCAGAGACAGGTTGGAGCTGCATAAGGCATACGAAGAACGCCGCGTCCTCCTAGGCCAGGCTCCGGCATGGCCTCACGGTGCTCACCGGCCTCCTGATATGTAAATACCCTGGGAGGGACACAGCGGCTCAGTCGGGGGGCAGCAAGGCCCCGTCCACATGCCACGTATAACACCAGTTCAATATCATCCAAGATTGACTGAGGAGATGATATCTGCTGGAGATGAAAGGAGGAGCAGTACCGTGCTCCCCCAAACATACCAGCCAGGCTTTTGCATCACAGGGTAACAGTCTCCTTGAGGGTAGCAGCGTCGACCCCTGCCCAGGTGGGGTCCCCTCCATTCTGGAAGCACCCTGCACTGTTTCATGTTGGGGAGGGAGCAGATCCAACCCAGACTTTTTTTTTCTCTCCAGAGGTGAGCTCAGCTCCCTAGGGACCAGACGCCTGATTTCCTTCTGCTTGAGGTACATGGTCACTGGAGTTGAAATCCTTTCCACCAGTGCCCACTCCTCTTCCTCAGGTTCCTTCTTCAGAGTCGGAGCAGCCAGTCCTGGACACTCCGGAGGAGGTGGCAGGGGAGGAGCGAGGGACGAGAGGTAAGCCCACCCCCCAACTGAACCAGAGGGAGGCATGAGGCCTGCCCACCCTCTCCCTGCCAAGAATACTGTCATTTTCCAGAAAGGAGCCAAGCCCAGCTCAGCAACTGAAAAGGCCGAGGCAGAGGGGGTGGGGCCGGGGAGGCATATGGCGAGAAAGGCATCCTTCGGAAGTACGTTGGCCCAGCGGCGGTTTGAATACTACAGCTTTTCTGTGTGTTCTTTCACGGATCAATCCTTTTTGCCTGTCTTTGCAATTTCGTGGGGGAGAATCCACCTATTCCTTCTTTTCCCAGGGACACTTCTTCAAAATGAAAAGAAAACGGAGACGATGAGCCTGGAGGGAAGACGCACGAAGCAAAAATAAAGACAAGGAAAAGGAGTGAAACCAACAAAACTGGGAGTGTGTGGCGGTGAGGTCAAGGTCAAGGTCAGGCAGTGTGGTGGCAGGCTCGGGGTGGCTGTGAGGCTGAGCAAGGACCTGGGCTCCTGCTAGCTGAGCTCAGCTGGGCTGGAGCTCTCCGGCGCGGGTGGGACCCCGGAGGGGTGCGGGGTCACGAGGAGGGGTTTGTAGTTGGCTGGGTGATAGGTGGTCCTCACAGCTTGGCAGACCCCCATGCTGGACCCTCGTCCTGGAGGTGGCGGTGGCTTTGTGGTAGTTGCAGTGGCTTCGTCTCCCCCTCTCCCCTGCTCCTGCTTGCAAAGTGGTGGCTGTGCCTGGTGGGCTCCGTTAGGCCAGAGAGTAGATGGCGTTGACGGGCGACGTGGCCTCTGAGCTCTCGTTGCCCTCTGTTTCCTCCTTGTCCTTCTTGACTGTGTACTGGCCGATGAAGGAGCCATCCTCGTTGAACTGCCCCTCACCACCCTCGCCATAGTCCACCAGGCTGTCGTCGCTTTCTTGCTGCTTGATGGTGCCATCCAGGGACGTCTGGCTGCCCTGCAGGGGCTTGTTGTCCTCGTCACTGGGCAAGAGAGAGGCAATCAGGTCCGGAGCGCCCAGTGCGGCCCTCCCTCGCTGGCCCTGTCCAGCTCCTCCAAGAAGGGACGGCACCCAGGGAGGCAGCAGGTCGGTGCGGAGCGGGGACTGGAGCCCACACTTCGGCACGCCTGGTCTGGGGGCCTCTCTGTGAGGATGGGCCACTTTCGGGGTGCCAGGAGGGTTGGGAGGAGTGAGGATGGGGAAAGAAAGAGTTGGCATTCTAGTCCCTCGGCCAGAGTGTCCCTGCGTGCCGTGGCCTAGAGCAGGCCCCTTCCTCTCGTGGGCCTCATCTCTCCGTCAGGAGGGTTGAACCAGCTCTGAACTCCATGACCTGTGGCTGTTGGGAATGGGCCGGCCAGTGACAAGAAGGGAGGCCTGGGGTGTGATGAAACACCCCTCTCCCATCTGGATTCTCCACTCTGCTCATCTACACACGGATGCTCCAGCCTTGGGCCCAGCAAGGGTGAGGCGGGAGGGTGTGTGGATCAGGACGTGAGGCAGCAGCTGGAGACAAACTAGCATGGCACAGGGAGTCCTGCCCAGCCCCCTCCTGAGGCCCCTGGTGCTGCCTGAGCCCCTTCTGTATAGGGAGGTGGGAGACAAAGTGGCACCAACTGGCTGGGATGCCTGCTGGGCCCCCGGAAGCGAGACCCTCGAGGGCTGGGTGTCTGCTGGGCCCCACATCACATCCTGGCTGGAAGACTCTGTGCCCTTTAGCTCAGAGCAGGGCCAGGAGTTGCTGGCTGCACTTCAGAGGGAAGTGAGCCCAGACAGGCCCGGGTCGGCATCTGGGTCCCTGCACACTCCCCTGCCTGCAGGCTACACCCAGCGCTTCTGGGGCCTGGGACAAGCCTCCAGCTGAGTTGCCATTAGAGTGAGAAGAGCCTTCTCACTTCGCAGCAGCGCAGGCAGACGGCCGGGGAGGGGGTGGGCACAGAAACCTGGAGTCAGTAAAAGGAGGGCATCAACGCACTCAGCCCCCCACCTGGACACAGTAGGGCAGCAAGTGAGGAAGTGGGTCTCCAGCCTTGGTTACACTGCCGTGTGGGAAGCAGAGCCCACCTTTGGAGAACTGGCAGATTGCAACGAACAGGCTTCTCATCTCACTTTCTGGTCTTTTTCACATGCGCCCTCCACCCTTCTGCAGGGCACCTGGGTGGTGTCTATGTGATTGTCGTGAACTGCAGGCTACACTAAATGCAGCCCGAGCACAGGGAGGGCTCAAGGGGTGGGAGGTCGGGGGAGGCAACTTCAGGGAGTCAGAGGCTTGAGAGGGAAGGGGTCTAAGTTTGGAGAGAACAGACCCTCCTAAGGGGATACTTGAAAGAAACCAGAATGACGGGGGGCCCTAGTCCCACCACCTGTCAGCCTACCTTCCCAGAGGCCTTTGAGGAACAAGTGGGCAGACGGGAGCAGGTAGCAGAATTCCCTCCAGAGGCCAGAGTGGAACAAGGCAAGGTATGTTCCTTCTTACCATTGCCAGTTCAGTTCTCCTGGACTCATGCAAGGGGGGGCTCTAGAAGGGATGCTGTGACCCCGCAGAGCCAAAGCAGTGATGTGTGCATGTGTGTGTGCCCATGCACAAACCGGTGCCTGTCTGTATGTCTGTGCAGGTGCAGGTATACAGGTCCATGTATGTCTGTCCAGCCTCACTGTCAGGGGGCAGGTTGGGATGGGGACAGGTGTTTTTAGCCAACACCTTGGTGTCTGGGGGATGAGAGGGCCTGAGGAGGTGCCTCATGGTCAGGTGGCCTGGCCTGGGCATCCTTACCCCTCCTCTGTAGCTGCACTGAGGGCCTGGAGAGGAAAAAGCCCCAGGGCCTTTGGACCAGATGGCCAAGGAATGACTCTGAGATGGGCCCCTCCAGGGGTGCCAAAGACAGCAGGGAAGAGGAGGGATAGGGGTTCCTTGTGTATGCTCCTTCGGGGCTGGCTGAGTGGACGTGGGCAGGAGCTGCCAGACAGGCTCTGGTGTGGGCAGTGGCCCTGCTGCCTATTGATCTGATCCTGGTGCCAGGCTGCTGATGGGCAGAGTGGCGGAGGCCCAGGATAAGGAGAGGTCAGAGGAGGACAGCGGTAACCTGTCCTAACAGAGTACTAGGTAGGTGGGGACTTATTCCCACCCCACTTGGTCTGAGAACGAGTCTGCCACCCCCACCCCCCATCATTCCTTAGCTCACAACATGCTTGCTGTCAGAATGGATGATGGCAGCCTTGTTAACCAGATACAAAAGCTCATCTGGATCTGAGAGGACACAGAGGAGCTGCAAGCTGGCCCTGGGCGGCCCCAGCCCTGCCACCTGCTCCTGCAGGGCACATGCAAGAGTCCTGGGCAGGGCCCCTCCAGGTGGACCTCTGGCCTCTTATCTGGAATATGGATTCTGGGCGGTATGCCTCTCCTTCTAGGCCGTAGCCCAAGGATGTCACCCAAGCTCATGAGGACAAGGCCTAGCACACCCCTTCCAACGGCACCACTGCCTGTCATCTGACCCAGCCAGGCTGCAAGACAAGACATCTCCCCAGGCTGCTAACTGCAGGGCTAGGCGAGCTGTGGGCACATAGGCACAGAACCCAGGCCATTCCACAGCTTGGGTGGCCAACGGCTTGTTTTCGGGTAAAGAGGAGGGAAGGACATAGAAGGGTGAGCTGCGTGCTGCTGCATGAATGCAGCGCTGGTCACTGTGTTGGGTGGTGTCTCCTGAAGGTGCAGGGGGGTTCTGTCTGCACCATCTGGAGGACCGCGGACCTGATGGCGGAGGGCCAGGGCATGGACACAGTGGCCCTCCGCTCAGCTGAGCTGCTGCAAGGGCGGGGATCAGGGGCAGCCCACTTTCAGGGCTCAGGTGCAAGCAGGAGCCAGCGATCACCCACCTGTAGTCAAACGAGCCGTCCTCCTCTTTGGGATCCTCAGGGCCGAGAGGGACATCCTTCTTTTCTCGCACTTGATCAACAAGAGAAGCAGAGACACAGACAACTCAGCAGGACTCTGACTCTAGGGCAGAGTCTCCCCTTTAACCAGGCACCACCAAGGCCTCCCTGGCTCCTGCTTCTTACATATAATCAGCTGCCATGGGGTCCCCTATCTCCACGGACCCCTGCAATCTCCTTGCCTCCCCTCCAGGTCTCCCCCAGACAGACACCAAAGGGACGTGACCCTCTCCTTCGTACCATTCTCATTCTGTTCTCTCTCAGGAATGTCATGCTCATACCAAACGCCAGTTCTTTCCTTAAAGGCGGGGAACTGTGTTTCTTTCTTTTTTTTTTTAAACCAATAAAACAAGAACTATTTATTCAACAAGTTCATGCACGAAATTGTACGGATGGGGTTTGTCAATATTTTAGGATCCATAAGAAGGCAATTTTGTTGGAAGCTGATTCACAGAGAGGCGATGTAAGCTCAGACTTACAGAGCTTAGGCAGAGATCTAGTTCCCCAGCTGGTTCGTGTGGGACTTGCAATCAGTCACCACACGTTAGATCAGGCCAGTCGCTAAGCCCAACGGTGACGCAGCAGCAGCATGGTGGAAAGCAGACTTTACTCAAGCTGGTCACGTAGGAGAGTGCAAACAGTCACTACTAGTAATAATCGTGGGTAAAATTGCTGAGTGCTGACTATATGCCAGCACCATGCCAGGGGGATTATCCCACCTATCCCCTAAGCAGCCCTAAGACAAGGAAACTAATCCTCAGTGAAGTTAAGTAACTTGCATGCATGAACAGCTAGCGGCGGAGTGGGAACGGGGCTCCGGCTTGAGTCACTCTGAGAGCAAGAGAGCCGTTTGTGACTGGCATTGAATTTGCTCTTTAGGAGAGAAAAGCAGCAGGAAGGCTAGAAACAGCCACAGGAAGGTGAGTAAGTGCTTCTTCAAAGCTCCGAGCAGAGAGGATACTCCAGCCATGTGCTGGAATGGAGAGTGACTGCCCCCCTTTTTTTTTTAAGATTTATTTATGCATACAAGAACTGGGGTACAGGCCAGGGGTGTGTGGGGGGTAAGAGGACTCATCAGAGACAGAGTGGGGAACAGAACAGACAGACTGCCCGAAATACACTGCTGAGGGGAGCAGCGAGTGAGACAGGAGAGGTCTGCTGTGCCATGTGGGCAGCTCCCTGGCCGTCCGGGGATTGAACTCATGCTGCAGAGGCTGTGGACAGCTTCACAGTGCTGTGCTTAACCCTTTGCGCCACCAGGGAGGCCAGGAAAGTGACCTCCCTTGTTATGTCACTCCCTCCCCTACACCTCCACTGTGATTGTCAACATCTACCCACGGGCCTGCCGCTCATCCTGGGGTCTTCCTACCAAGCCAGCAACTGTCCCTGCAGGGCAGAGCAGCTTTCCTTTCAGTGTCCTTAGCACCCAGCACAGAGCCTGGCACACAGCAGCTACTGGAGTGACTTCATTAATTTGAGATATGAGACGGAACAATCACCCCCTTTTAGAGGAAAACCGAGGCCTTGAGGGGCAAAGGACATGTCACATGATGTCACACAACTAGTAAGGGAATAAAGTCAAGTGAAGGATGACCAGGCCCCTGGGTTCCTGGTCTGACTTGAGGGTCCCCTGTAGCTGGGGGAAGGGCTAGCTTTGAAGAACTTTCTGGAATGGGATAATTTCTAAATGGGCAGAGTTTATAGGACGAGTCCTGTAGGTGTTCCGGGTCCTCCTGGAACAGGGGGTGAGCTCAGTGAGTCCAGAGAGGGTGAGCCCTCTCCCTAACTCTGGCTTTCTCTCTTACCAAAAAAACCAATCCCACACAGCACAACAAAGCGAAAGGAAAGATCCATCAGGAAAAAATTAGAGTTTCCTGCCCTTTCTCATAGATGTCCCTTCACTTACAGGAAGGCTTTACCATGAGGATCCCAGGGCCTGAGGACAGCTAGGCAGAGAAGGAAATAAAACAGAATTTCCTCTCCTTTGAGTTTTAGGGGTATCCTAGCGGAGAACTTGTCCATAGAGATGAGCTCAGCAGCATTTGGGGGGTGTGCTTGGTGATGGCGTTGGGGGAGGCAGGGAGCAATTTCATCCTGCAGTCCAGCAAAATCTCCACTGTCAGGGTCATCCATTATCCTGTCTCCTGTCACCCTACCCACCCCATCACAGACAGATGACTTTCTTGCCCCTGTTTGAAAAACAATCAATATTTCCAGAAACAAGAATGCCAGAGGTCCTTGTCCTTGACCTTGGTTTGTCTAGGCTAGAGGATCTTGAGACACACGGAAAGAAAAGCCTCTTCGGGCCTCTATAAAGCCCAAAGCCTTTTTAGGAGGGAGGGATCCCTCAGTGCACCCCACGCCTCAGCCTCTGCTGCTCCTTATGTCAGGGCTCCTGAGCTCTGGTAGGGGTGTCATGATGAACCCTGGCCACCCTGAGCCCAGCTCTGCAGCCTCTCTCTTGGGGGTGCTGCTCCTGTGGAGCCCCTCCCCGCTCCAGTCTCAGATGTGGTTAAAGAAAATGCCTTTCTTCCTTCCTCCCGCCCTGGAACACAGGATCTAATCAGATTCAGGCTGAAAAAAGCCAACTGACTGAGCAGATGGTGATGAGTCAAGGGGAGGGCAGGCCAGACCTAATAGGAGCTGGGGTTCCTTCCATCCTCTTTGGAGCTGCCTGGAAGGCTCCATCCGCCCACCGCAGGCGCACTGATTAGCCCAAGGGCTTCCTGGCAGCTCCGGGATGTACAGTATGGCCGCACTCAGCAGGGCTGGCTTCCCTGGGAGTGGACAGGCCCCAGATGTGGCCAGGGACCTGGTGACTCAGGAGCACGTCAGGGCCTGCACGTCTTACCTGGGTACTTGCCTCCTCGACTCCGCTTGATGAAGCAGACGATCAGCAGGATGAGCACCAGGAGTGCGATGGCACACATGAGCCCGATGAACCAGCCCTGGGTGGCAATGTCCGCCTGGTTGTTGGTGTAAGCTGGCAGGGGGCCAGAAGCAAAGGCGTGAATGAAAGAAGGGGAGGAGGGGGTGTGAGGGAGAACTTTGCTAGTTCAAGTCCAGGCTTCTCCCGGAGCCTAATGCTACCAGCTACCACCGACAGCCTCTACCTCAGATGATCTTACAGGACAAAGAAAAAATGAAAAGCAAAGGTCAGAAGGTCAGGAAAGGGGCTGAGGAAAGGCAGCGAGGGAGCGTATAAGAAGCAGAATGCTGGACAGGTACCCCAGAAAGGCAGAAGTTCCCAGGACAGGCGCGGACAGGTGCGGCACTCTTGCAAGCCCAGGGCTGCTCAGCCTGGGGGGAATGGGGGGGGGGGCGCAGGCCTGGAGGCTGATTCCCTGTGGATGAGCCCAGGTGGAGGAAACAGGAGCCACATGCTACCCGTGGAGGGAACGGGCAGAAGTAAGAATGTCCCCTGCCTGGTGGCTCCGCTACAGCCGTTCCACCAGCAAGGCCCTTGAGCCCACCGGGCCTCCTGCAATGAGGTTGCCTGTGCTTGCTCACGTCCCCCTCGCGCTGGACTGTGCAGCCCTGACAGCAAAGGCAATCCCTGCCTTTGGGTGCCCCAGATGGGCCGGCAGCGAGGTCGGGGCTGGGTCAAGCTTCCAGAGCCCCCCCACACCCCTGCCAGACCACCTCTCCTGTGGCGATGCCCCTGGCAGCTGCAATGAGCCCATTGGTGCCCATCTGGGAGCGCGGAGAACTGCTTTAAGCCCTTTCGCTACTTGAGAGGTATGGGGGTGAGGGCTGAGGAGGGGTGTGAAGCAGGCATACCCTGTTTTCTCTGGACTGCGGAACAAAAGCAGCACCTCCTAAAATGTGGCTGCCATGGAAACAGACAGGGAGGGATCAGAGGGCAGAGACCTAGGGGACCAGGAGCAGCCTTGAAGGGCTGGACCCAGCAGGAGCCTAGAGGCCCAGGAGGCCCTGGGAGCTGAGTGAGGCTCAAGGCATCCTCCAGGGGAGAGAAGGAGCAGCAGGGGACCCTGGGCTTCATCATGTCCTGTCTTGCACAGGTGTCTGGGCGCCACCCCGCCATTGCTCTTTCTGCGTGGAGAAGCTGCCTTCACAGCCTCCCTGAACCAGCCAAGGGCACTGCACCAAGAAGGCTCTCAGTGACGGTGAAGACTGATGAGCAAGGACTTTTACCCCACTGCAATCTGGCCGCTCCAGCCTGACAAGCAGTGGGTCCCCAGGAACACACTCACAGGCACTCTCCCCTCCTGCTCCTGACAGGCTATTCCCCCCTCACCCGAGTGATCATCTCAAAACCCCACAAAGGTCAAAGCCCCTTTTTTTTTTTTTTTAAATAGAGGCATGCTTTATTTATTTATTTGTTTGTTTGTTTTGTTTATACATGCACTGGGTACAGTCAGAAGCGTGGGAGGGTGAGAGAATTCACCAGAGCCAGAGCGGGGAGCAGAGCAGGCAAAAGGACCGAAGTACACTGCTGAGGGGAGCAGCGGGCGGCAGGAGAGGTCTGCGCGCCATGTGGGACCCTCCTCCGGTGGCCGGGGAGCAGCCGGGAATCGAACCGGCGCCGCAGAGGCTGCGGGCAGCTTCGCAACCCAGCGCTCAACCGCTGCGCCACCGGGGAGGCCCCAAAGCCCTTTCTTACTTCCACCTCCAGTGCTTCTCATCACCACGGGGAAAGGCCCTGAGCCTCGCCTGGACCTGCGGGCTCGGTGTCAGAGCCTGGCCCTTCTCTCCCTTCTCAGCCTCGACGTGCTGCCACACTGGCCACCCTCGGCCCTGCCTGCCCTTTGCATCTGCCGTTCTCCCTCCGATGACCATTTCAGTGAGGTCTCCTCTTCAGAAAGGCCTGCTAGGTCGTTCCTGGCTAAGCAAAGGCCCTCTCTCATTTCTCTCATCCATAGCACTTGTAACCATGGGCTGTGTTACGACTTATGATAGTTCACATTTATAAGTACTTCCTATGAGCTAGGTTCCAAGTACTACTCTCCAACACATTCTCTAACATAACCTCAGAACCCGGCAAAACAGATTTTTAATTACTGTCCCATTTTACAGATGGGAAAATTGAGGCACGGAGAGGTTAAATGATTTGCCCAAGGTCACAGAGCTGCGTGCGGTGGGATGAGATGAGATGTCAGGCTGTCTGGCCGGAGGTTGCATCGTAAACCACTCCACCCTTGTCCCTCCCCCAGAAAGTCAGCCCCTTGGAGGGGCTGCGGGTTGTCTATCCCCCTGGGCAGGGGGCACAGCCTCCCCTGGGAAGGCACTTGGTTCACACTGACTCAGCGATGCACCCTTCATCAGGCTACTCACCCTCTCCTGGCTTGGTGGGACCTGCTGACCTTAGCCTCCACACTGCCTTCCTTTCTGCATCAGCCTTTCCAGCAGGCAGCTCAGCGGCCAGTGGGGACGCCTGGACAAGGACTGCATTTTGTTCTCACTGGGGCAGATGCAGAACCAGGCCCATTACAGTCACCCTTGCACGTGTCAGCTGGGCCTTTGCGTCACCTGGCAGCCCATGTCCTTCTCACTCACCGTCCCTCCAAAACTGTCCTTCCCAGTCACCTTCTCCCTGGCGGCTGGCCTGTGCTCTGGGCTGCTCAGCCCAGACCAGGGAGCCTCATGGCCTCTTTGTCCCGCCTGCCTGTTGGTAGGGCTCGCCCTTGCCGCTCTGAAGCTGTAGGGCCCGATGCCTCGCCTCCTTGATGCCTCAGTCTGGCTAAGTCTTGTTTCGATTGCCGCAGTGCCCTTCCTTCTGCTGTCACACATGGTGCGGCTGACTTTGTTTTACCAGAACTCCCCTGAGGGGCCCGCCAGCTTTCCAGCTCAAGCTCACGGCCAAACCAGCCCCTGGCTCCAGTCTCCGCCCTGGTGGGCTGACTTCAAGGTCTCCAGTGCTTTGTGGAGGAGGCCATCCCTAACCCACTGCCACGTGCTGTACTCCACCTGTCCTCAGGACCTGCCTTTCCAGCTGGCAGCCCATCATCCCCTCTCACCATCCCTCTAGCTGGCTCTGCCCCTGTGGGCCCAGGCCCTCCTCACAGCTCCACACCTGCTCTAACTCAAATGTCTTCCTGCCCCATCTCCACCCCCACTTCAGCTGGTGGCCTCGCCACCTCCCAGCCCTACAGGTATCACTTCTCTGTTCTAAACATCCCTCACATCCACCTGACCCCTTTGTAGTGTCCTTGCCTTCTGCCGGTCAGAGCCCGAGGACACGCAACACCCATCCTGCCGCCTAAGCCTCCTTCAGAACGGAATGTGTCACCACTGCTGAGTTGTTATCAAACTGTGGTTGGTTTCCCAAGCCCAGAAGGCTGGGCTCCGCCCTCCCTCTGCCCGCTCATGCCAGTCGCTGCAGTGACTCTGCCTCCATCTACTTGTGCAGTGTGACATTTGCTTGTCCTGCTTCCGGCTCTTGGTTTCCAGTTATACTATTAAAATCAGAGCAAGAGGGATCTCTTGGAGTCCGAGATGTTCAGCATATGCTGGTCACACAACAAGTGGTCAGTTACTGCTTAGTGATTAATAATCCACTTAACCTTAATCAGGTGTATCTGGGATATCACTCTAAGTCCTCTCTGCCAATGCCAGCAGGGGTGACGTGGATATCGGAGCGGCCAGGTACCCCTGTAGGCAGCCTTCGAGTTGTGTTGGGATAGTGGCTCCCTGCTCTGGGGGGACAGTGGTCTGCCTTTCCACTGCAACCTAACTGTTCCTACCTGCTGGTGCTGGCTCTGGTGCATCCAACAGCCTCCATAAGAGCCCTTTCTCATGGGGGAGCCTAAATCCCAGGGAAAGTGGCCAAATGGGCAGCTTAGAGGCAAATGGAGCTTTCCTTTCCTGACAACTCCACGGCAGGTTCAAGTGCTTAGTCTTTACTAAGGTCGGAGAATTTCTGTGACATGTGGACACAGAAGGCTGTTCAAGACCAAGTGGGGTTGGGAGTAAGGTGGCTCAACTTGACCCACGAAAATGACTTAGTTTCTTAAGAACCGAAAGAAATTCGGGTCACGATGATCCCACCACAGGGCGACCCCTGGGGGCAGGGGCAGTGCAGTGGCTCCAGGGCCGCTCCCTCTGGCTGCAAAACGCCCCCTTCCCCGCCCTCCGTCTTAATCTGCTCAACATGTGTCCGATTCCTCACGCATCAGTAAACAACACTCAGAGACCGGGCTCACTTCCGGCCCTCTCTCCGTGCAGCTAGAGGGAGAGCGAGACCACACCCGCCCAGCAGGCCACAGACTGCTCCTTGGGACCAGAGGCCACGGTCCATGTGCCTCGAGACCACGCCCCACAACCCCACTCAGAAGCAAGCTGGGCAGTTCCCGCTACTTCTAACCCAAGCGGGATAAGCGTGGCTTGGCCACGGAAGAGAGCCCAATCGCTCAAAGTCGGCAGAAGAATTTTAGAGCAGGTCTCGAATAGTCTCCCTATGGAAACGTCCTCTTGTTATGACATGGAGAAAAAAACGTTGAATGAAATGATAATCAAGAACCTATTTTCTTTCTGTCGTTTTACTCCAAGTCGCAGTTTCCAAGAACCTACAGACGCCATGAAGTGGGCACTTACTGGATTTTAGAGCTAGGGGCGGGGGAACATAAAGAACTGGGCAGGAATTGCCCCAGATGCCATCTGATTTGGCTTCAGCATCAATTTCCATCTCTCCATTCCCATCTCTCCCCACCCTGGGTTTCTCCCAAGTAGCAGAAAGAGGCTTATTACGGTTGGCCCCCAACGTCCCCGCACCTGGCCCTCCTGAGGCCCTAGGTGGCTGCTGTGTCTCGAGGCTCCACTGTCAGCGTGCCCCACGCGGCCACCTCAGCTCAGCCGTCCCGCCTCAGGACAGAATGGCCGAGGGGCCTCTTGGAGCCCACAGTTGTATATGTGTGGCCCCTTGGGTTCTGGCTTTAAGTGTCCTACATGGGATCTTTGTGGGAGGCTGGGGAGCCCGTAAGTAGCGCCCGCATTCCTTCCTGAGCCACTGTGGCACATTTGAGTGGTGGCCTATGGTAGGTACCTGGGTGGGGGATCATGTGACCTGGGCTCTGCCACAGCAAAGTGTTATTTCCAGAGGATCTGGACACACTCACAGGCACACTTTAGGGAGTAAGCAAGTTTTTTCCAAGTCGCAGTTCTTTCCCTGTGTGGTTTGCACATTTCTAGCCAGTGTGGGAGGAGTGAACAATCTGTATGGGGGTAGGGCTGGGTCACAAGCATGCACACCCGCAGGCTGGCGCTGGGAGGAGCTGGGAGACTGTCTAAGTGCCCAGTGCCTCACTCTCTCTGAAAGCAAGCTCTCGGGCTCAGCTGCTCAGGCCCAAGTGCACAAAGAGAAGGATTTGCGTCGAAGGGTCAGCAAAGCGCTACTAGTCACCAATATCCGCTGATGTTTTCTGTTCAGCTTCAGGTCTTCCTGGCAGGCTTAGGACTCTGCTCCCCAGCCCTCACCCGCAGTTCAGGGCTTAGACGTCAAACTGATCTTAGCAGCTTTGCCTAGGATGACACTCTATCCTCAGGTCTCCCCTTTGCTTCCAGCATCTGTGCTGGTCTCAAATTTGCAAAGAAGCAAAATCAAATTCACACACCACTGAGCAGCAGCTTGGGGCTCCCCCTGGGTCAGACAGGGTCCAGGCACCTGCTCCACTTGCTCAACTGTCCAGGAAGACCTGCTGCTCGCCCAGACATCCTGCCTGAACTGGCCTGGCCAACCCCAAGCAGGCAGCTGGACTCTCTGGCTCCCTAAGTCCTGCTGGCACGGACATTTGGAGGACAGGCCGAGGACAGGCAGGAACCAGCCTAACAGGGTGGAGGAGACGTGGGCAGTGATCACATCAGCATCAGCAGAGAACACAAAAGTCAACGTTTAGAAGTTTGTAAAAGTCAGTGTGTAGTGTTTTCCTCTATCCTGGGTCTCCACACCTGCATGTGGTCAGGACACCCTTGGGGGCGGGAACTGGTGCTTTTCTCTTAGTCTCTTTCCTCCATCCTTACCCTTAGGCCTGGGGCTTAGCATACTGGCCAGTTAGCTGCTTTGGAAGATATCACAGTTTCCAAACTGCCAGCCACCCTGAGGAGTTGAGATCACTGAGCCCACATGCTTGCCGAGCCCTGCCGACCTGCTCGCCTGGCATTGATGAGGCTGCGCCAGCCACAGCTGAAGCCCATGGGAGCCTCACACCCGGCACCAGAGAGCTCTTCCCGCCCCAGCATGACAGAAGGTGGACCACCTAAAAGCCACAGCAAACTTGGGACAGACATTAAAACAAAGCCCCAGACAAGTGCAGTCACGTACTTGAGTTTCCGGACAACAGATGACGGTGACAAGGCAGTGACACACATGCTGATCTTTGGTTTGGGTCTTGGGGAGATTACTGGGTCAAGACCCCTGGACAGTCCTATCCCCTAATCTCGCGAGACAAAGCAAGTCCCTGCACACAGTGGGCAGGCTGGACTGCCCTCCAGCAGCCCCCCACCACAGGGGCCCCAGCCACACACACCGAGTCCACCGAGCCCCCCGAACCCCCTGGGGGTGGGAGACAGCCTCCTCTGCTCTTGCCCTAGGATCTCTGTTTCCTTCCGACTCCCTGTTCATCCCCATGGGGCAGGAGAGCACTCCCTTCCGCTGGGCATGCACTGCTGGCTCCTCCTGGCTTTCTGGGAGCTGAGAGGCCATGCAGGATGGGGGTGGGGTGGAGATGAGTCTTCTTCGGAGACAAGCAGGAAGCTGAGAATGAGAATGAAATGCCCCATGCTTCTAGGGGCTGGCCAGGCCAGGTCCCCTCTCACCTGTACTGGTCATAAAGGTGATGACGGTACTGCTGATGCCCTCGTTGTCCCGGGAATAAACTCGCAACGTGTACGTCATCCCGGGATAGAGGTCTGTTAGCTGTACAGACTGGGCCTGAGCCTTAACAGGGACAGTTTTTTTCGTATGGTTGCCTGGGGAACAGAAACCTCAGTCAGCCTGGGGCCAGGCACGAGGAGCTGGGGAGGCAGTGTTGAGGTCCTGGTCACTTGGACAGGTAGAAGCACGGACAAGGGCCAGGCCTGGGTGCAGACCAGGAGGCTACCAGGTGGCGCCACCAGCCCTTCCACTTAATGTGACTCTATGTGAGGCCCTTCAGCTGAGGACACTCTTCTCTCTCCAAAATTGTCCTCTCCTCACCACTCTGGCAGTAGGCCTAGCACTGAACACATTATGACCTGCTTCCTTGAACTCTCAGCGTGTCAGGGGATGCTCATTGTCTGGACAGGGTCAGAGGGCCGCTTGGCCTGTCCTGGGAGAAGGAGGTGAGGCAGTACTTGCTCCTGGGCCTGCATTCCTGGCTTCTTCTCATCTAATGTTGAGAGGAACCTAGTTCACAGGTCAGGAGATGAGCATCTGTGCCTGGGATGAAGGGCGAATGGGGATGGAGGCCCTGCACAGGCAGGAGCAGCCCAGGGACTGGATTCTGTGAAGTGACTCCCCTTCCGATTGAGAGAACTAACTGTTGACTGTTCCTAGGGCCCTCCTGAGCAGCCAGCCTGGGCAGGTTTTCTGCAGGGGGAGCAGCTTAAGTGCTTAGTGCACAGCACGGTGGGCAGGGGTTCTGGGGAGGGGGGCTGCCCTCCCAGGAGGCAGATATCCAGCCTGCACTGTACACTGACAGATCACACCTTTGGTTCCAAGACTCAGTCAAGCCACCAGCTCTTGGAGACAAACGACCCTGTCTGTGTCTCCAACAAGGGGCCATTGGCGACCCTCTGGGGACAAAGCACGGTGGTGCTCCAAGCCTGAACTGGCCCCATCTGTTAAGTGGAGACAGCAGAAAACATGAATCTGAGTTAAGGAGACCCAGAGCTGAGAGTCGGCTCATTTGGGGGCTATTCAGTGCCCTCATCCTGGGCGGGGTGGGGACAGAGGCCATTCCCCAGACCCCCTGCCCGCACAGCCCCACTGCACAAGTTCCTTTCCTTCTCCGGGAGCCTGCTCCTCCCGCCTCACTGCTGTCTGAGTGTGTATCGATTTCATTACGCCCTAATTAAGGCCGGCTAAAAGGCTGAGCCTGGGGAGCTCACGGATCTCTGTAATGGCATCGACACTCCCCGCCGCCGCCACCCCGCACAGCAATGCTTACTGTCGATGTACTCAACCACAAAGTCAGTTCCGGGCCCGAAATTGTGCTTCCAGGTGATGTTGGCCCATTTACTGTTGGGGAGCACCGTGACGTTCCATATGGACTGCTCGTCGGGGGCTGGTGGTGGGTTAGAAGAGGAGTTAGTGGTGAGGAGGCAGGCAGCACTGCAGACAGACAGACAGACACACACACGTAACCAGGATGGGGTAGGCAGAAGTGGCTGCCCAGCCGAGCTCCAAGCTGCCTGGGGCCAGGCCAGAGGTGCCATCCAGGCAGGAGCTTGTGGTCCGCGGGGTGCGGGGCAAGCTGCAAACTGAGGGTCCACACAGGAGGGGGCAGGCATGAAAAGGCAGTTCCGATGCACCAGGTGGGCTCAGCCCTGCCCAGCTCCCTTGTCATGGGTTTGAACGGCGCAGTGAGAAAGGTTAGGAGGAAGCCCCACTGGCAGGATGCAGGCAAAGCGGGCGATGGGGCCCCTCTTTCCCCTCAACTATAGATGTTCTACAGGACGGAGACATGGTCTTTAAGAGCCACTCAAGAGTCATGGGGAGCCTGAAAAAGGACAGGCCCACACATGGAGCCTGGTGGGCTCCCGAGACAGCAAGGGGCTGCCACGCACGTAACTCCAGCCAAGGAGCCAGGTTCGTTCCTGGTCAGCGGGACTCAGGATCTTCTGGAAAATGACCTCAGATGGCCTAGGGCCCAGAACCCCAGGGTCCCGAGTAGACCCAACCCTCAGTGGCCCAAACACCAGAGGAAACTGGTTCTGTTGGCTTCTCGGCACCCCGGCCTTGAGACTTCATGTCCACGCAACATGGAAGACACTAGTTTTCTAGTTCCTGTGAGCCGGGAGCGCCTGCATCAGCTGTCGTGTGGTCCGAAACCACAGCCTTGGACAGGATAATAGCACTAATGTTCAAACATAATCATTTTTCAAGAGTCCCAGCAGCCTCATCACATTTCCCAGCAAAGATCTAGATGCGGAGTTCCAGGGTGAAGCCCGGGATTTCAAAGACTTTACAAGTGTGACTCCTATTTATTTTATCGGCACATTAGCGGGCACTGTCACCAACTCACTCGTCAAAAATTAATGGAGCACACAGACGATGCCTTATTCACGATCTACCTGGCACATGACCAAGTCTGCAGGGCCGGGAATGGTAACAGGTCTGGTCTTCACTTCTAAGTGGCACCTACTTTACTGCAATTGTCAGCTGCCTGTTGCCCCAGGTGAGGACGATTCATGTTGGGTGAAGGGACAAGAGAGGGATACCACCATGCCACCCTGGGGTGCTCTCCATGGCTGGGGAGAAGGCAGGTGTCTTTGCCCATCTGCCAGGTGCTTCCACTGTACTGGAAACGTAGGGGCTGCTTTAAACCACCCCAATCCCACTCCTGAACATCTTACAGTTCTTGCTAGTAAGAATGAATTCTATGAGTCATGGTTTGGGGCCTGAGTTTCTTCTTCCTCAGCTCTGGGCCCTGGAAATAGCTGGAGACTGGGTTTGAACAGCTTGGCCACCAATACCATATTGACCCAAATCTGACTGTCTTAAAGGTAATGAGGATACGGGAAAAGGTCAAATGATGGGAAACCAAAACGACTTTCATGTGGGAATGGCGGGAGGGAAGCAGGAATTACTCGCTGGCTCCTGGAATGTGAGAATTCGGGAGTATTCCTTGGAATCTGAGATGAGTCAAGGGCAAAAAAAAGTCTCATTTCACCCTGAAAAATGTACCCTCAGGGAATATTTTGCCCTAAGATGTGAAACATTCCACAAACCCAGGATGATAGAATTGTTCTGCCTTGATAAAGAAAGCGAGGAAGTGAAGGGTGTCCCCAAACCTAAGGAGGGACCAGGGGCAGGGCCAGGCTCTGCTGGCACAGCTGGAACTTGGGGTATGACAGCACACAGAGGGGCCGGTCCTCCATGGTGACAAAGTTGATCTCACCAGAGGACCAGAGGCTGCCAGGGAGCAAAATCTGCTCCCCTTCATCCTTTGTGATTCTCTTGTGTGAACTCCAAGCATTAAAGTAGGACCCAATAGGAACCCCACTTACATACAAAGGCTGGTCTAAAGAACAGCCACCACGAAGCCTCTGGGGGCAGCTTCTAATGGCCTACCTGGTTTCTCCTCAGTCAACTTTGTCCTAAAGTGCATGTTGTTTAAATTCTAGATATAGCAGCACCTTTAAGGAAGTCGGTGTTCCAAAGCATGTCACCTGTCTGCCCCGTGCGTATAGCTCCATGTCAGCAAATTAAAGGAAATACTCACATGCATTAAGCCTCTATGCTAATTCAAGTGCTGAGAAAAGTGGGTGGGAGATATATTCAGAGGGTGAGGTCTTGCCCAGGAAACGGGGGGCCGACACCCGACAGTGGCTGAGGGGACTCCGGTCCCCGCCACAGCCAGCCTCACACTGACTTGATAGTTGCAAGCGAGAGGCCTCCCTCTGTGGTAGTAAGAGTGTTGGATGCAGTTCTTAGAAGCAGCGCTGGGTTCCCCGGGGTCTCCTCACACGGGAAGCCCAGAGCTTCCTGGCGTGGCTGCCGGAACAGCACATCCTCCAGGGTCAGCAGGCAGCCCTGGCATTGATTCTCACCAGGGCCCCAGTAAGGCTGCACTTTTCCCTCCATCAGTACATTTGGGGATGTGGTGAACATGAGTGGGAAGAGCAACTGAGTGACTTAGAGCATTATGGGACTCCCTGGCAATACCGTTTCCAGGAAGTGCTGACTTTTTAAAAGAAAGTCTGTAAGTGTGCCTTTGGGGGAGGGAGCAAAGGAGGGGCTGGGTTCTGGGAACAGACAGGCTGGCCTGGCTGGCGACCCCCAAACCTGTTGCCCTCTATGTCTCAAGGCTGGAGGCAACTTGCCAGCCCTTTTCCGTGGCCACACTCGCCTTCTGGAGGCTCAGTCCTGGGCTGGCTGCTGGGAAGGTAGTTGGGGGCAGCCCCACTCTCTAGGCCCTGGGCCCTGCTGAGTGGCCCTCCGTTAAAGAACGGGGATCTGAAGCCAGGCCCAGGGGAGGGAGGGTGGAGAACCAGTTTGGGGTGGGCATGCTCTGGGCCCCTAGGCTTCAAGGCTGAGACTCCAAGTCGTGTGTGTTTCCAAGGTAGAAGCAAAGGGAGGTGTCAGTCAACACCACCCCAGACCCCCCCCTGCTATCTGGGAGAGTCCCGAGGGGTGAGGAGCGTGGACAGTAGGCAGTACCGGATTCGTGTATCTTAGTCCCGGTGGTGGTGGTGGGAGGACTCTCCGTGGTGGTGGTGGTGGCAGCAGTGGTTGTAGTAGTTGTGGCGACGGTGGTGGCGACGATGGTAGGTGCGACAGTTGGGATGATGGGGACTGTTGTGGCTTCGGTGGTGGCAACAGTGGCAGTAGCATCGGTACCGCTCACAGCGCCCGTCGCACCCACGGTAGTCGGGGGCAACGTGGGAGGAGCTGAGAGGGAAATGTAAGACAACCAGACTGGTTTGGTCGTCCCAGCCCGGACCCGGCCCCGCGTGCAAGGCAGGCACCCGGTGAAGAGATGGCGCTTTGGAGCCTGGCACTTCCCCAAGCATGACGGGCCGAGTGAGTCACTCCCTGAGAGGACACAGCCATGTGCAAGGAAGAGAATGAAGCCCTGCGTGTGTTTCATTTTCTTCTCATGGTCTGTGCGGCTTGAAGCACCCCGCATGCACCCAGGCAGGGCGAGGATGGGGGGGGGAGGGGTTTGAACAATCACTCAGACCCCAGGGACAGCCTGTGCCCACCTGGACACCGGTCAAGCAGCACTGCTGGGTCCAGCCCTGGAGCCCCGGCCTCAGGTGGGCGGGCAGCCTGGGCCTATGCTGCAGGAGCACTGGGCGGCCTTTTGGTCCCTGCTGGTCACTCCCAAAGTGTCCGTTCGCATGCTCACCTTGTACTACTACCACCCAGGCCCAACAACAGGGGACAATCCCCACTCTGGGGTCAGCCCCAGGGCTCTCCTGCCCCCACTGCTCTCCCTGCCCTCGCCTCATTCCTCGGCCATTCCTCGCTTGTCTCTGTGCCACAACGGTCCTGCATGTACTCCAGCCACCCTGACTTCTCATAACTGCCTTACTCTCACGAGGGTCCAGGCGGCCAAGTCCTTTCCCTACATATAAGAATGTGGGGAACAGCATGAAAGGACTAACAGTGTGGCTGTGCCGCCTTCCCAGCCCACAGAAATCCTATCAGTCCCCTGAAATTCGTCCCGGGCTTCTTATCTATACCAGTCTCCAGGGGCAACAAATTTGTGCCAACTCTCATGTCCTCATCTCCCACTGACGCTAACTCTGCCATCTGTTAGTCCTCAAGGGCTAAATATATATAGGTGACAACTTTTCCTTCTTTCCTGCTACAGAAGGGTCATGGAAGATAACCAAGGGCTGCCCCAGCCTTACTCTTTAGTTCCACTGTTGACTAAAGCTAAGTGTTTGACAAGAATGATAGGCCACATCAGAGAGGCTGAGCCACACCTCTCCTCCTTGCAGTCCATCTTCTGTGATCTGACCATGGTACAATTTCTAGTGTCGATGCTAAGGGAACAGTAGGCAGGGTCATTAAGACCTAAGTAGGTAACTCCCAAGAAAAACAAACAAACAAACAAACAAATAACCATTCTCTCTTATATCTCCAGGAGTTTAGGAAAACAATATCTCCTTCCCGTCGCATCCACCTCCCTGCCAGGCAGCCAGGACAGGGGTGAGCCAGAGAGCTATTCTCAGGGGGGATATAAAATATCCTGTTTGTTTGTTTTTAAGTTAGAGCCTGACCAACAAAAGTCCATTCATTCTCCTGGGCCTCCAATATCACACTACTACTCTTACTACTGCTCCCCCAGCCCGCGCCCCACATAGGAGGAGGAAGTGTTCCAAGGTTCCCAGCAACTCCCCTATGGGTAAGATCAGAAGTGTTAGAAGGCCCTAAGGGTGCTGACCACAGCAGTCACACTGGGCAGCTGACTGTGCCCAGTGTAGTGCAGAGATCCTCTGGGCAAGGTCACCACATACAGTCCTCTATTTCCCAAACCCCAATCAACTCACAGGTCGGGGGGCCTCTCCCTCTTCTAATCATTATTCAGGGGTGATTCAGCCAAGGTGCCTCAGACCTGGAAAACTCAGTGCCTGAAAAGCTGAGCGAGAGGGAACGCGCCTGCCCACCCACCAGCAGCTCACACACCCGGGCCCCTTGCCAGGCCGGCTCCCTGGTGTGGACTCACAGGGCCTTGCCCACTGCTCTGCGCTGCTGGGAGGAAGCTTAGGGGTGATTTTGTCCACCTGGGCTGGGGTGCTCTCAGCTCCTTATCAGTGCTGAATTTTCCAATAATTCCTGCCACATGCAATGTCCACAGTCCCTCCCTTTTCCTTGATTATTTAAAAGTCACCATCAAAAAACACTCTTTACAACAGAAATCACCCTGCGCGGATGGTACAAGGAGCTGGGCTTCCCTTGGTGTGCACAGTGGGGTTATATGTGCAGGCCCCCGAATCAAAGCCAGGTTTCCCCAGGCTTAAGTGTGCTCATGCATCCTTTGCTGCTCACTTCACAGGGCCACAGGCAAGCTCGCACAGCAGGGGGCCCAGGGGCACTGAGGGGCTGCTGGGGTGGGGTGAGGTGGGCTGTCCCTGACACTGCCGGTCAGACAAGAATGAGAGAAACCCCTTCCCTGCAGTCCGCCGCCCCCTCTGCTGCCCCTTCTGCCATGGCTCTGGGTATCAGTGAGGGGGCAGCTGGGAGGGGGTGCTGCAGGGTGCTCTTCCAAGCAGGTGCCTGTCACTGAGTCGGAGTGGGGGTGCCTTTAGCTGGCTGGGGTTAAGGCTGACCCACTCAAGAGTTGCATCTACTACCCATGCTGGACAGGGCGAGAGGGACACAGAGGCAAGAAGGAAAGGTTCTGAGGGAGGGGACACAAGTGAGGTGAGTTGTTAGCGGGAGGGGAGGTTTTCTGCAGGGAGACTGTCCAGAGTTCAAGTCAAAGGCGATTTAGGTGATCTCAACCCTGGGGCTTCTTTGGATAGAGGATAAAGGGGGAACCTGGCACAGAAGAGGGGCCCGTGGACAAAGTGGCCACAGACGCTGCCGGGCCAGGATGTCACCTCTGGACACCTCTAGCAGGCAGTATGGGCCAGCGAACCACCCTGCTCGGGTGGAGACCACCAGACTGGCCACTGGGAAAGAGGGGAAGCCAGAGGGGGATGCATTGTACCCCTCCCCAAAGGCAGTGTCAGCACAACGGGGGGCCTAATGGGTACTGGAAGGCACCCCAGTCACCCGAGGGTTTTCTACCAGAGTTTAGGGAGCACCACATAGGAGGTGGAGAAAACCGAGACGAGATGCCTCCTTTGTCCTGCTCATTTTTTGTCCCCGGAGCCACCCACCAAATATTCAAACATTTGCAAATCTGAGCTGAGTCAAAGATGAGGATGTAGTTTCCAGACATTCCAAGGTGGAAGATTCAGTCCAAAAATGCCCACATGGCGCACGACCACCCTGGCCAAGTCACAGATGGTCCGGACAGATGGGCAGCAAGCCTGAGACTGCAGACGGGGCCCACGAGAGGGATTATCTTTACCGGGTGAGAAAGGAACTGGTTTGGGGGGAAGTGCCCGGGTCTGGAGAGAAGGAGATGGAAGGTAACAGGGACACCAGGCCTAGGTCAGAAATGGGAGTCCTGGGCTCCACACGCGGCCCCTGCAATGTGCAGAAGCTTCTGAGGCAGCTAAAGTGGAGCACAGCTGACGTGACCAGCACGTCCGTCTGCAGAAAAAGCGCCATGTGCCTCTAGCACCATGTCTCATGGCAGCTGGGGCCTGGGAGACACATTTGATTGATGGACGGAAACCCCGGGTGCATTCTGCATAATGTGATGAGCTTGGATCATCTCGAGATGGGAGGTGGGGTGCTGGAAGCATACCCACTCCTCTCACAATTGCCACATAAGTGTGCAGCACAGACGGGCACGGAGGCCAGGCGTACCCCCTCCTTCCAGACACACCTGCTTTACCTCCCGGGGTGCCAGAAGGGGGGTGGGCAGGGAGGTGCCTGATTACATGGTGCCCTCCCCGAATCTCCCCTCCTCCTCACTGAGCTCAGGCTGCCCTGAGCCCCTGCTACAGCAGTCCCAGAAGGGACCCCACACATGTGATCAGGAGGTCAGGGTACCCCCAGATTGCAAGGATGGCTTTCTTCAGGTCCCCAGCCCCAGACACCTCTGCCTGAAATCCCAGGAAAGGCATCCAGACATTGTGGGGGGCACATGGCCCTGCCAGCACGGGTCATGGGGGGCAGTGGGGGAGAGAGAAGGACAATGAAAGATCTGACTGCAAAATAAACACGAACTGAAAGAAGCAGGGTTTGCAACAGAAACAGAATCAACTTGAAGTGGTGGGTGCAGGGGTGAGGAAGGTGGGGGGAAAGCAATCAGACCCACCCGCCTCCTACACCCCCATTCCTGGCTCTCTCCACTGCCTAGCGTTGAGGAGCCTCTGGGGGCACTTGTCCCGTAGGCTTTGCTCAGCCAGGGGCTACCTGTTCTCAGCTTCATAAGAGGGCAGGAAAAGGGACTCAGGGGTCCCGGGCCCGCTTCTCCAGCTTGGGACAGGCCGTCCGTGGGGAAGAGGCCCCCATGTTCCTCAGACCCAGCACAGGGACTTGACCTCTGCGTTGTCATCAGGCCACCGCCTACGCCAGGACTTGCCTGCCCAACCCCTTGGTTCTGCGGTGCATCTGCCTCGCGGACCCCAGGGCGGCACCGTTCTTAATGCCAAGGACCTGGGGCTGGATGTCTGAGGGATGCAGGTGGGGGGTGCCCCCGGAGACTCTAGGTCCTGGAGCACCTGGCCCCACCCCGGACATGCTCACTCCTCCCCGCTGATCTGGGCGGTGGCAGCGCGGGTGCCAAGCCCCATGCAGCATGCGAGACCAGCGTGCACAGCATGCTCCTCCAGGTCACCCTTTCAGGGCTGGGCCTGCCCAGGACCCGGGAGCCAGCTGCCCTGCTCCTGGAGCATCCTTCCTTCCCGGGCACGGCCATCACCAGGGCTGTGGACCTTCTGCGCTCAGAGCAAGTCATCTCTCAGCGTCAGAAACTCCGGCTCCAAGGCGTGTGCTCGGGGCCGCATGAAGCCCTCCTCCACCTCCAGAGGGGCAGATTAATAAGTGCAGGCGGGCAACATGCTTGGTTCCTCTGGTCCCATCCTCCACAACAGTGGGGCTCCACCCGCTGAAAGGGTGAGTCTGGAGTGTGCTTCCACCTCAAGCCTCCCCCTTCTGCTCCACCCGCTGGGCTGGGCTGCGCCTGTGCCGCCCCATGCCACGCCCATTACCTCCGCTGCGCACGGTACCTGCGGTTGGAGCAGCTTCAGAACACAGCGCCCAAGATGGCCAGAGAGAGGGAGAAAGGATGAGACAGGGAAGAGAAAACAGAGTACAGGTGAAACACAGGACAGGCAAGCAGAGAAGGTTCTGGCTCAAACCTGACCCAGTGTGGCCATCGGTCGGCCACTGCCCCAAGAGTGAGGCCAACGGGTGTTTGGGAATCACATTCAACTCCACTGGGATGTGGTATGCTCCCCCAGAAAGCCAGAGGCCTTTCTAATCTGTTCTGCATCTAACTCTCCTCCAGGACTAAGTCTGGAAGAGATGTGGCAGGGCCAGTCCACCAGACTGCGACGTGCCCAGGTCTCTCCGAAGAGGGGTCCTGCCTGGCTGGGCTCACCATATGAGGGAGGCCGGGTGACCCTCCATGACACCAAGAACTGGGGGCATAAGGACGACAGGGGTGGTTCCCATATCTTCCTGTTACACATTAAGTAGTGTTGGGGCGGGTGGGGGAGGGGAGCGTATTTGGTTCCCGGCACCATGTCCGCCTTGGAAGGCCTGGGAACTGTGGTGGTCTGGAGCCCCAAGGCCCCTGTCTGGATGATCTCCACCCCCCAACCCCAAAATTCTTTCTCATCAGTTGTACTTTATGAAATTAGAAACCCAGCTGGGACTCAGAGCCCTAAAAGGAATTCCTGAGCTTGCTGCACATCCCTAAGTTGAGAACAGCTCTTTGTCCTTCTATGCCCTTGGGCTGCAGAACTTTCCAGTGGTGGCTTCTGGGGCTGGACAATGGGGCTTTGTTTATCTGATGTTTGGTATTGGGGCGGAGATGCTAAGAGAGAAGAGGTGCCCTTTATCTCTTTAGAGACTTAAGTAATCAAGAAAGTGCTCCAGCCCCTGTGTGGCCTGACCTTTGGTAATAGCCATAGATTAGGCATTTACCCAAAGCCCCCCAGCCCCATAAGCTGCCTAGGGGGTTGGAAGAGCACACGAAGGGGAGTTTACTGTGTGACTCACTTCTGTTTTACAAGACCAGAAAGGGACTTGAAAGGAGCGCCAGCCTTCCTGCCCCCCTCCCCTGTGCCCTCCGGCACTGGCTGGCCAGGGAGCCAGGGACTGGGGAGGGTGCAAGGCTGCTTGTGAAGCCGAACTGGGAGCCGGGGTAAGATAACAGAGGTGAGGGGGTGCTGGCAGCCCCCATGAAGGAAACACTGATGCTCTCCTCGTTTGGGGGTGGGGGAGGAGGCGTGCTTAGGAGGTCTGACCCAGGCTAAGGTCAGGCCACTGGACATCAGCTGTCTGGGGAAAGCACTAGACATGATAACCTGCAGTCAGCTCCAAGGATCCCTCCTCATATGGCCTCTTCCTTGAAGATTCCCTTTGAGAATTAATCCCGCTCCCCCTCACAGCCGCTGCACTGTCCTGACCTAAATATAGCACTTCTCAAGTTGAATGGCAATTAGATACCCTATGGATGTCCCCCTTTTGGATCCTGAGGGAAGTGCTCATCTGTTCTTGTTTCTGGCAGTGCTGTTTGGCACTGCCATTGTGGGTGCTCAAGAAATATCTGCTTCAACCTGTGGAGAGGCAGACAGCCCCTGCCTTTCAGGGGGATCTGCTGGTAATGAAGGCTTCCAGTCTGGTCTCCCTGAGAGCGTCCAGAATGCTGCACTTCGGCAGGCGGATCTGGAGGTCCCCCTAGCGGAGCGCCTAGGCAGGCGCAGCTTTGTGGGGTGCTCCCCCAGGCACATGCCAGGGCCCAGGGTGCTCTTTGTGAAGCTGGTTGGGCGAAAGGCTCCCCTCTCCCCACAGCTTGACCACTCACCCAGTCAGGCTGAGGGAGGGATTTCAGCTTCAACCACAGGAACACCCCAGGGCCTTCCTGGGGCAGGCTCGGTAATATTCCTGTTTCCCTCAACAGGTGAGCCCTAGCACTGTTCTGGGAATTCACAACACCTGCCAGCATGCTTTCCCTCACCATCCTAGCTAGACTCATGCTCTCAGCCTTAGCCTCCCACCACAAGGATCCATAATAGAGGTTAAGAGGCTGAGCAAGTCGAGGCAAAGGCAGGACTGACAGCAACCGTCCTAGTCCACCTGTGTTTTCCAGGGATGTGACCAGCACCTGCTGCTCAGCAGACAAGGTGGGTTCTCTCCTACACAGAGGCTGGGCAGCCAGAGGGTGCAGGCCGCGGTGACTCTCCAGGCATCGGAGTCGGCTAAACCCTTTCACCTCCAAGGCTGCCGCCATCACCTACCTTCGTTGGGGGCCGCTGGTGACTCCTCTGTGATGGCCTCCCCGTTGCCCACCTGCGTCCTGGCACTGAGCGTAAAGCGGTATCGTGACACGGGATCTGCCCTTTGCATCGAGAACTTGGTCTGATTGGGAGAGAAGTTTTCCACTATCTGCTTTCCTACTTTGGTTCCATTAACTGGGGAGAGAGGTAAGTGGAACTGCAGGTTAGTGACGTTCACCATGACGCATCTCAGAACTGCAGCTGGACGTAGAGGCCTCCCCTGTGGTGCTGGAGAGGGCGGGGGCAGGGGGTGCCCCACTGGTGGCCAGACCTGGGATGGGAGGCCTGGCTTCAGCGGTGGAGTGCTGGGCAAGAGCTCCTTTCTGGGTCTTTGATTACCCTCCAGGGTTAAAACTTCTTCGTTGATCCCATTCTCTCTAGCCCCCTGAGAAGTTATGTGGCCAATTCTGAAAGATTCAGTTATAATCCCTAAGCCTTTTCAACAAGGACAAAACTTCTGAATTCCTTTCCTCCTTTCAAACAAAACTACGACAAAACCACTGGCGCTTTGGGTTGTTACTGTGCCCTTGGTAAAAGGCCTATTCAACAATTCAAAGGGGGAAGAGCAGGTCCAGAGCACACAGTGGCTACTGAGTGGTTAACACTACACCTGGCCCCTTGAATGTCCCAAAGTGGCAGGGTCACCATTGGAGACTGAAGAGTCTCCCACTGTGATGGTGCTCTTCTGCATGGTGATGCTGAGCCCCCAAGGTGAGATCCTCCCAACCCAGGAGCCTGACCTTGCCACCCCAAGTTCTTTGGCAGCTCTGATACAGCTGCCTAAGCATAATGACACCTTCTTAGGGTGTCGTGTGGGTCCTTGTGCTTGCACTGTCTACTCTTTTTTTTTTTAAAGATTTATTTATTTATGCATACAAGAACTGGGGTACAGGCCAGAGATGTGGGGGGTGAGAGGGTTCACCAGAGACAGAGTGGGGGACAGAACAGGCAGATCCACTAAAATACACTGCTGAGGGGAGTAGCGGGTGAGTCAGAGGTCTGCTGTGCCATGTGGGTCACCTCCCTGGCCAGGGATCGAACTCGTGCTGCAGTGGCTGCAGATAGCCTCACAGGTTGCGTCTTAACCCCTTGTGCCACCAGGGAGGCCCTGCACTGTCTATTCTTGATGGAAGCTCCGTCAGGTGAGGAACCTTTTCTTCAAACCTTGTAGGTGATGGACACTATAAGATCCCTGAAAGTGGGGTTGTCGCCCTCACTAGCCTGGATGTTCCTATCTCACCAGGGCACTAGAGCTCCTGCGGGTGCAGCTTAAGGAGGAATTGGGTCTCCCTAAATCCTATGGTGAATTTTTTCCTTGGACCCTCCACCCTTCTGTAATGCCCTCCGCACCCACAGACTTTCTACCTCAATGCCTCAGGAAAGGGGTAAGAGTAGGGCTTCTGCTTCCCAGGTTAGCCAAGAGAAAGGAGGAAGGACATACAGGCCACGTATTTGAGGGTGTATCCAATCATAATCCCATTAGGGTGCTCCGGATGGTCCCATTCCAGGTTGATTGTCTCCGGGGTGGGCTGCCGGACTCGGAAACGCCTGGGGGCACTGGGTACTTGGGGAAGGAGGAGAGAGTGGGGGAGGTGAGGGCGAGGTTGGGGTGGGCAGGATGAGGGAAACAAAAAACAAGGCACAAGTGTGAAGGCATTGACCTCAGGACAACTCCCAGGGGGACTGTGGCTAAGCCAGGAGAAGCCAAGGTGGCAGAGCCCAGGCCCGATCCAGGCTGGCTCCCCCAGGAGTAGAAGTGGGGCTCAGACTGTTTAACACGGAAGTAAGACAGCATCCCCTTAGCAGTTACTGAGGATTCAGCGGGTGTGACTCAGGTAGGCAACCAACGGCAGCTTTCCCACAGAGGCTGCAGTCCCCAGTCCTGGGACACAGTGTGTCACCACAGGGCTAGGCAGAGGCCCAGGCTCCTGCTGAGCATGCTGGGCACAGGGAGAGGAGAAGGAAACCCAGATGGCAGCGAGGACCCCCGGGCATGAGCAGTGAGGGCGAGGGAGAGAGGCTGATGAAAGAGAGGAGGAGGCCACAGTTAAGAAGAGAGGCAGGAGAGAAAAAAGAGGGCAAAGCAGATGTCCAGCTGCGAAAGGGGACTGGCTGACTGGCTGGACCCGGCCTGGGCAGGGCCTGCGTCCTGGGACTGGGCGCCCTCTGCAGGCCAGCGCACGCACAGGCGACCACCTCCACAGAAACTCCTTGACTCCGGTGTGGGAGAACTCAGAGGGTCCTAGATGCCTCCAGGTGTTCAGGGGGAGACCGTGCTTCTGCCTCAGGAGGTGGTGGGCAGCCCAGGCCCTGCAGTGTCCCTGGGGGTCAGGCTGCATGTCCCTGGAAGTGTCAGCGAACCACACAGGTCTTCTCTCGAGGTGCTCCTCCGGTCTGGGCAGGTCACCTGGTGACGGAGCGCGCCTTGGGCGCAGCAGGAGTACTTGCCTCGCAGGTCATCGGCTCTTGTGGTCACATGGAGGTCAGCTTGTGCCATGCTGGAGCGGCTCTGAGCCCGCCGGATGCGCTACCCTGGTCCTGCCCCACCCTGAGGAGCTGCAGCCAGACCTACCTCCTTCCGGGGTGGTGAACTCCTTGGTCTCACTGCGAGGCCCGTCGCCTCTCCCATTGACCACAACCATCTCCAGCTTGTAGTTACTGTAGGGGAAGAGGCGGGACACCGTGCCACGGGGGCGGTCACCGGGGAAGCTGGCTTGCTGTCTCTTCTGAGACACCCACAGGTTCTTCAGCAAGCTGCTCTCCCTCCAGTAGTAGGCCTTCAGGACAGAGGCAGCCGGTGAGGGGACAGTCAGGCAGAGCCGGGTTAGTGGTTAGTGGTGGTGGCAGTGACCAGTCTTCCCTTTGCTTGTCACAGGTTTCAAATCCCAATGACCCCATTGGGCCCCATAAGGGGGAGTGGACTTGTAGTCCATTCACGAGCCATAAACGCTTCTCTGGGAAACAGGCAAGTGGGTCAGGCTTACTCTGGGCGGCTCCAGCGTGAGGCTGCCTTCCAGGCGGGGGCACAGGCTGCTCGGGGGTCTGTGTCTGAGCCAAGGTTCCAGCATGGGAAGCCCTGCTCTGCTCAGACCGCAGCCCCTGGGGCTGGATTAGTAGGGTGTAAATTGGCAAGGCAGGAGCTGAAAAGGGAGGGTCACCGCAGCAGTCTGAATTTGAGCAAGGGTGGATTTACTCCTTGGAAGTCAAATGGTTTCTTTTAATACTGTTTGAAGACCTTTAGGGATGGGACAGTGACATGTCCAGGTCAGGGTTGCCAGGCTGCAGCGGCCAGAGCCCGGGTGCTGTGGGGCACCATGGTAGGCAGCAGCGTCACAGCTATGGTGGAGACTTGGCGACGCGAGTTTTGGTTAGCAGTGGGTAGGAAGCTCCAGGTCAGGATGCACACCAGCGTCGCCCAGGCCACTGACAGCAAGGAGAGGAGGGAGTCCAGGCTTACAGGGAGGCGGGGAGGGACCCCCATGGGATATGTAGCCAGAAGAGACTCCAGGCGAGGAGGTGAAAGGTGCAAGTAGACTACGGGGGGCAGGGTTGGATCAGTTGTGTGTATCCTTCTGCCTTCCTTCCTCCCCCACTTTCCAAATGCATTTCCCAAGAAGAGACTGATGCCTGCCCTCTGCCCCCAGCCATCTATCTGCCACTGGTGTGACCTGTGAGGTTGCAGAGCCTGGTTATCCAGGCCTCCCTTCTACCCAGACAACTTTTAAATAAGCTACTTATAAGGGAGAGCCTGCACAGTTTGGGTTTTCTCTCCCCTTCCCACCTCGGTTCACCCTTTCAAAGAGGAGAGATGATGGAGCAGAAACTGCTCACAGGCAAGAAGAGCAGAAGCCAAGGGCCTGGATAATCTACACATGGATCATCCAAAGTTGGCTGCGGCCAACAGCAGAGAAGGCACTTGCACCCTTCAGCGGCTCTGCCTGTTAGTTGGGGCTTTAAATATCAGATGGGGCAAGGCAAGTAGCCAGCGGGGCCGTTAGGAGAGGGGAGGGCGTAGCTCGGGCGCACTTCAGCGTGGCCCCTGCAGGTCACGTGTGCCCACGCACACTCGCACTCCAGACAGTGCGCTGTGCAAGTCAGCTCCGCCCTGCCCTTCGTGTGATTGTCTGCTGAGCAGATCCCCAGCAGAGCTGTGCAGGATACTCCTGGGTAGACATATATATATAGAGAGATAGATAGATGGGTATGTCAATATATGTCTATACATTTTTTTTCTGGGTGTATTTTTGAACAACTAACCCTAGACATTATCAAATCAACTCTGCACCAACAAATACCTCTAGGACTCCTTCCAAAAATCTCATGCCCCGCATCTGCTACCCCTTGCCCTGGTTAGCGAGCTGGGAGGTTAGGCAGGGGAGGGCGTCCTCACTCGGTACTCCCTGAGCTGGCCCTGGACCGTGTCGGAGTAGACTCGGTTCCACTGAAGGCTGATGGCTGTGCTGTTCAGGACTCGGATTTTAACCTCAGTGGGCGCGGCCCTGGGATCTGCAATGTGTTGGGACAGACAGCTGGTTACGCAGGTGGAGCTGGGCCCTGGACTTTGACGGGGCCCCTTGGACTTATTCTCTGGGGCCTGCACCTCCACCCTATCCCAGACAGCCCACTCTGGACACTCTGCCAGGGACTGTGTCTCTTCCATCAGACACAACTTCATACTTGGAGTGGGCAGAGGCTCAGGACAAAAGAGCAGCTGTCCAGGTGGGGGGCTTTGCCTACACCTTTAGAGGAGATCGTTTGCCCCCCCCACAAGCTGTCTGCCTCTCCACTCTACCTCCCACCCTTCGCCATGTCCCCCGTGCCCTCTGAACGGTTTCAGCTGGGCCTGTCCTCAGGCTTCCGGATGGCTCTGCCCAGTGGGAGGAGTGACAAGAGATCCTGGAGCAGGGGAGGGCAGGAAGGCGGGTATAGATTCCTCAGAGACCTCTTTGTAGGGCGACAGGTTGACAGCACTGGACTCTTCTACCAAAGGGAGCCCTCGCCACTAGGGGTGACCCTCCCATCCCTGCCCCATGGGGGCTGGAGGGATTCAGTGTTGTCCTGCCCTTATCAGCCTCCCATGGGCCACATGCCTTGTTGGCATCCCTCTTAACCCTGTCCTCACATTGTAACATCCCCTGTGAGTGGCATGCGCTTCCTACCAGCTCCCTGCAGGAAACATTACCCTCAGACCCAAGATGCCCTGGCCCAGTTCAGGAAGGGACTTGATCCTGAGATTACCTGGCAAGGGAGGGGCACCCCCTCTTCCCAATCCTTTACAGCACTCTGCTGCAGAAGCAGCTCTGCACCCCCACCCCAACCCATTAGAGCACACAGCACAGGGTTGATGGAGGTGATGGAGATGGAGGAGTGGTCTGAAGTCCCTGAATTCCCTGAGCAGACCCTGTGGGTTCCACACTTACCAACAGTGGTCCCCGCGGCCAGGACTATCTGCTGCCATGGAGGAGGAGCGAGAGGAGAGAGGGCCTGCTGGTCCCCTGTGCTTATCTTCCAGGTGGGACCAATCCATGATCATCTCCAGGAAAGAGGCCCGGGGCCCAACCTCACTTGTCCACCTCACTGTAATACATACTCCCTGCCCCCCTCCCTACAACACTGGCCCTGGAGACTCCGGTCCTTTCCAGGACTCGCACTTCCCTTCTGGTCACCCCTCCACCGACAGGGTCTCTGCTTAGACCAGATGCAGACCCGCCAGGGCCTGGACTACCCTGGCCAGTAGGGGTTCAGTGGACCCTGCTGCTTGGCTCAGCAGCCTAATGGGTTGAGGTATGGCCAGAGAGACAGCCCGTCTGCGAAGCCAGGCACAAACTTCCACGGTCCAGAATCGTGTTGATTTGCGCTGTGCTGGCCTCCACATCACTTCTCTTTAAGCTCAAGTCCAAGGAGTCAGCTGTGCCTGGAGCACTGGCAGGTGGCCTGTGCGCTGAGCCAGCCTGGGCCCTGTGGGCCTTCTCCACCCCAGGCTTCCCCGGGGGAGCCTGAGGAGGGTCTGGCCTGGAGCCCTACTTCCAATGGATGTTCTAACCATGGCTCTCTGTGCGGCTGGTGCTGCAGCCTTTTCGGTGCTGGCAAAGCTCAGTGTGGAGGCAGATTCGAGGCCTGGGCTCCTTTCGAGCCTGACATTTACTACTGTGTAATATCAGCAAGGGCTTCAGGGCCCTTTTTAATACCCATAAAATCACGCCTGTAAAATGAGCGCAGTGGACAAGGGGATGATGCTCAGGACTTCTAACTCGTGTTCAGGTATCATGTCCACTTCTGACAGGACCAGCGCCCTTTGTCCTAGGTCCCCATGGGAGTCTCTCCTTCTTGGGAATGGTCGTCTTCCTGGATGTTCTTGGAAGTGCCACGACCCACCCCAGCCTGTAAGCGCTGCTGTGGGAGTGCAGGGGGAGGGGCGGGGGAGGGTACTCACAATCTTCTCCGGAGTAACCAATGACAGTGTCTGGCTCCGGGCCCTTCCCAAAGTCGTTCTCGGCCTGGACTCGGATCTCATAGGGCACATAGACGGGGGTCTGCCCCACCACGTAGCGGGAGCCCCATACCGTCACGTTGTTCCAGGTCTCGCGGGTCTCTCTCCGACGCCACTTGACGATGTAGCGCAGGTTGGGGCCAAAGGCAGAAGTGGCGTTCATGGGCTGAGCGGGAGAGAGGCTGCAGGTGGGGGGTGCAGGCGAGGACCGGGGCCCCCACACAGCTTGCCCTTACTTTTGCCAGGCACCCCCTCCCTGATCTGCCCAGCATAGGCAGCCCCTTGCTTGGCTGGGGAGAGCAGGCCAATCCCCAGCTGAGCCTGAGAACAGACTCAGTCCCGCAAGAACCCAGAGCCATATGAATTCTGCTGCAGGTGGATTTCCTGTGATGAAGGCCTCACCCAAGACCTCATCACTGATGCTCAGAGCCCTCCATGCTTGGAGGGCATAGAAAGCAAAAGCTCTGCCTTCAAAAGGCCAATTTCCTGTGACAAGAGCAACTATAAAAGGACAATGGACAATGAAACCATATTCTCCAAGGCTGGAAGGGGATGAGTTTAGTTTAACCACAGCAAGCCTCCTGCCAAAGAATGCAAAATTCAGGCCTGATTGCCGTCCTCCCAAATCCTCAGGTGTCTGTCCTGTCCTTCCCAACAGGTCAGAGCTCTGAGAATGGGGATAACTCTGTTCTTTGCACCCCGAAGAAGCAGTCCCCTGGGGCCTGCTAGCAGAGCAGGAGTCCAAGAACCAGCCCTTGTAAGGTCATGGAGTGAGTCCCAGGCCTTGAACTCAAGGCCCAGCCCAGGTGCCAGACCCTAGCAAGACAGGCCGGTTGTGATTCCAAACCCGGCTCTCCGGGTTTGCTCACAGCTCACAGCTCACAGCAACTACTCAGTTCCAGTTTTGGTTTTGAAAACCTAGTCAGTGAGCCAAGATGAAGATGGGATGTTGATGACCCTGGAGGAGGGGGCCATCTAATGCCAAGCAGACCCCTGTCCCGAAAACACCTCCAACGCCTTTCCTCCCCCACTCCCAGCAATCTTCAGTGAAGGGAGCCCAGAACACACCCACATGACTTCCCTAAAGTCTGCCCTAAGTGCCTCCCTCCCCCCACTTATTTTGCTGGCACCTGTGACCTTGCCCCAGTGGCTGCTGGTACTCCTGTCTGGCTTCTGTTTCAGAGAAGAGCCAGGAGTTGTGAGACCCCATGGCCTTGGGGTCAGGGGTGCGGAGGGTGAAGACCCCCAGAAAAAAACTGCCAGGGAAGCAGCCATGGGGCCGGGCCTTACCGTCCACGTGATCTCCATGTTGTTCTTTCTTGTCCCTTCTCCCTTCACATCGGTGGGGTTGGACTCAGGCGCTAGAACCCAAATGGATGCCCAGTTCAAGTCCAATTCACGCCTCCCTGGGCTGTGTTAAGCAGCTAGCTCCCTCCCTCCTAACCTCCCTCCCTCCCACCCAAACAGCCCTTCTACACGGCCTGTTCTCAGCATTTCTACCCACAGGCAACTGAACTTGCTTATTTTTTCTCATGCAATGATGTGCCTTCCTAGCTCATATTAAAACAGAGCTATTTTCTTTAGAGTTTAAATCCCTTATCAGGCAGCATTTATCATAAGGCTCCCCAAATAGTGGGTGGTGGATGCAGCCCATCCCAGTGGGGACTAGCCCCTCTGTGGATTATCTGTAAGTATGTCTAATGCCAAACTGGCTTAGCCCCAGCAATTTTTGGGGGCATCTCCACCCTCAATGAGCTGCAGTGATTTCAAGAAATCTAAACACTACCCAAATGTGTCAAGAAAAGAAATCTGATATAATACCTGATTACATAATTCTTTCACAAATCTTTGCCACAGCTCTTCCTTTAAAGCAGTTAATTGAGACTTGTTGTTGACATTAGCAATAATAAGAATGACAGTTAACACTTATTGGGTGCTTACTGGATGCCAGGCACTGAGCTAAGTTCCCGAATTGCATTTTTAAATGTAACACAAAAGCCCCTCTTAAAGCAGAGTCTTGGAAAGGTGCAGCACAACCCCAAATTCAGGAGGCAGGGACTGGGAGGACTCAGTCTGAGCTCAGGGTTATCTGATCCCAGAGCCTTCTCTGCCAGCCCAAGCACCCACCTGTCCCACTGGTGCGGTAGCGCTCGGATGGGAGGCTGGGGTGGCTGCTCCCAACCTCGTTGACGGCGATGACCCTGAACTGGTAGTTGACATATGGGGACAGCTGCAGGACGGCTGAGTTGACACTGCCTGGGAACTTGGAGTGGTCGTGCCAGACCCCGGGCTGGAATTGGTCCTCTTCAAATTGGACGATGTAGTCTGTGTGGACAAGGAAGACAGAGCTGTTTGGGGTGGCTGGGCAGCAGTTCTTTCAAGGTACTTCCTCTGGGGCTTGTTAACCTTCTGATCTTCCCTGGGCAGACAAAGGCACAGGGAGAATTCTTCCCAAGACACAGAAAGGGAAACTGAGGCCTCCACACAGTCAGAACAGCCCAGGGCACCATCAAGGGAGGCAGGTTTGGGGCCAGAAGCCAGGGCCAGGCCTCCAACTTCTGGGCGCAGAGGACACGCCCCAGCTGACCTGTGATGGGGCTGTTGTTGTCATCCCCTGGGATCCAGGTCAGCCGCACGCTCCTCTCGGCCAGGTCGGTGAGCTCCAGGTCCCGCGGCCGGTCTGGCCGTCCTGGCAAGGGGAGGAGACACCAGGCAGGACTTCCGAGTTAGAGCGGCCCTGTCCTGGGGACAGATCCCCGCTGGGCTGAGGTCACCGCCAGCAGGAACATCCCAGCCCTTCCTTCAGGGGGCCAAGGAAGAAAAAAGAGGAGGCCCCAAATCCTACCATCCCCCAAAGAGTATCAAAGGATGTGGAGCAAAAGAAAGAAGATCCCATGGCAGACCTGGGGCCAGCCACGCTGTCGCAGCGTTGGGCTTGCACATGGCATCACAGGAGCCACGTGGAAGGCCAAGCTCTGGGAGAGGCCCGATGGGGCTTGCTGTGCTCAGATGGGCAGACTGTTAGGGGACTGGGCAGGGCAGGGCAGGCTGGGGGGAGGGGGAATTCCATCTGTGGCACCTGCAGGGAGGAGCCTAGCGTGTTTCCGGAGAGTGGGGCAGCACCTCTGAGGACCCTAGCCCTCCGGTCTCTCTAGTGGCTGTTTGAGTGCCATCCTGGCCCGGGGAGAAAGCCAGCTGGCCACCGGTGGTGGGGGGAAGCACGGGTGTTCCCCAGCCCAGCTTCCAGAGTGCAGTTGGTTTACTGGTGGGATGTAGAAGGTGAGCCCCATGAGCCCCATTCCTGTGCATGTGTGCGTGCTTGTGTTTGTGTGTGCATGTGCACGTGTGCACGCACCCGTCTCTGTGCGGGTGTGCATGTGTATACAATGTGTGTGCCTGTGTATGTGTGCATATGCATGTGTGCATGTCCCTACCTGCGTGTACATGTACATGCATGTGTGACTGCACATGTGTGCAGGTGTGCGTGCGTGCGTGCATGTGGGTGTATGCGGATAGTAAATAGGTGGATGACAGCAGGTGGCCTACAGATAATTTGAAGCAAGTGGGCTTTCCTGACTGGACCATAGTTTTCTTTGCCAGGTTGGGGAAGGAGAACAGCTCACATCCAGCAAGGGGTAACTGGCCAGAGTAAGGGGCTAGGGTGTGGGGGAAATGGCGGCTGAGGACTTCAGAGCTCAACCTGCGAAGGAGCAGGAAGCCCAGTGCAGGGCTGAGACCCAGGCACCCGGGTGGATGTGGGCCACTGAGGCAGTCTGGCAGGGACAGAGTATGACCACTTGCCACACAGTATATCCTGTCCGGTGGCACCTTCCTCCTCCCAGACTCCACCCTCCCAGGTGCTGGGCGCAGGGGATGTTGAGGGTCCTGTGATTAGTAAGAATTACCTTTGGGCAGGGCAGCCAAACGGTTAGTTGGAGTGGCCTGATCAGCTGCAAAGGTAAGATGAGTTATCCAGGTTAGCAGGTTATCTGGTATTAAAGGTATTCTAGAAGGATGGAAATAGGCAGCCAAGGTGAGAAAAGCTGCCCTGGGCTGAGGTGTTCCAGACTCAGCTTCACCCCTGCTTCTTTGGAGCACCCTACTCCTTACGGAGGCCCCTGGGTTTCCTCCATTGTGGGAGGAACCTCTGGCTCCGTCCAGTCCCAATACCACGGGCCTGCCATTCCCAGCGACTACACGCCTCCACCATAGCAAGATGAGTGGTAGTGGCAGGACACCCAGGACACACAGAGAGTGGACAGGACACCCAGAGGGAGGACAGAGGGGACTTCTTCCCTGGAAGGAAGCGGCTGCCTCCCCAGGGCGGGGATGCCTTGGCAGCTAGTCTGACCTGGACACAGGGCCGGACCGCACAGGACCCCTTCTACGTGCACAGCACACTGAGAAATCCCACCCAGGGGCAGGGAGCAGGGCGGGAGGGGGAGTAAGCTGGCAGCGGGTGCTGGAAGGACAAACACAAAATTCAGTCTTGCTTCAATGATGGATCATTTTAATCAACTTAGTGGTTTAGAGTTAGCTGCAAAGTTGTCAAAAAAGGTCACAATAAGAAACACCTTCTCACTTTCCGTCACTCAGGCACTTTTCAGTTGAGGATTCAGTGAGTTAATGATTCCACTTAGGGGGTGAGTTGTCCAGCACAGATTGTTCTGAAAGGAGCAGCTTCCCAGCCCCTGGGTCAGGAGGTGGAGAGCCCCAACCTGGCGGGCCCATGCATCGTGGCACTGCCCGCGGCATGGCCCAGGGCCCACTGCGGCTGTGGCCATGCGGGGACAGGGAGGGGCAGGATGGGAGGTCAGGGCCAGCGCAGGCAGCGGCAGTTACCTAGCACAGTGAGGTAGGCTTTGGCAAGGTCCTGGTCCAGCTCTGTGCTGGCGATGCACGTGTAGCTGCCCTGGTCCCGCTCTGCCACCCCAAAGATGGTCAGGGAGTCATCTTCCTTCTTCATCCTGCAAAGGTACCAGGCCGGGGCTGGAAGGAGGGCGAGTAGGGAGCCAAGAGGGGAGAGAAGGGGGGTGCGAATGCTGCCCCCTGCTCCTCCAGAGTCCGAGGGGAGGAGGAGGTGGTCCCTTCTGGAGGACACGAGGCTCCATCTCCACGCTCTGGGAGGAAGATCTTCACCACCCCACGAGCACTTACAGTGCCTGGTGCAGGGGAAGGAGTGTGGGTGCAGCCAAGGGGCCCCGACCCATGTTCACTATCCTCGAATTCCACACTGGGGCTGTTCTCTGTGCTTTCCTGTGCTAACCCAGTTAGGGCACAGTTAGACGTGCCCCCCCAAAGGCACTGGGGTGCCTTCTCTTCCCATACTTCCATCTTGGTCTCTGCCCAGATGGTTCTCTGTACCCAGGCTCAGCTCAGGCGCCCTGGCTTGTCTGGCATTTCCCAGGGCGCACCAAAGAGCAGGGCGGGACTGTGAACAGCAACTGAGTGCCAGAATGGCCGTGCCTGCCCTCGACACATCCCTGAAAACACTTTGATCCCTGGAAAGGGCTGGCACCTATTGGGACCCGGGGAAGAGTGTTCAGCAGGGCCGGTGGGGGAAGGCTGGGCCAGCTCTTCTCAAGCCCGACTGCACATGAGAAGCACCAGGGAGACTTACACACGCTCCCAGACCTGGAGACTTACACACGCTTCTCCTTCCACGCACTTAAATCCAAATCTGGGATGAGTGAGGGGTCAGGCCTCTAGCAAAAGCACCCAGAGGGCCAGACCTGCCCTCTGCGGGAGAACAGGGGAACTGCATGCAGGGCTGAGGGAGGAGAGGGTGTCCAGCTGGTGATGGGGACAAAGAAGGGGGAGGAAAAGAGAAGAGTGAGGGGAGACGGGGAGAGAAGCGACGAGGGAAAGATAAGAGAGGGAGAGAAAAGAGGAGACACAGAGGGGAGGAGCTGATGAAGAAAGGGCACAGGGAACGGGGTGGGGGTCTCCTCTGGGGCCACCATCGTGCCCTCCTCAGCGGTTCCTCAGACACATGGCCCGGGCACCTTGCCCTGAGCTCACCAAGCTCATGGGAAAAGAAAACGCCCCCCCCGCCCGCGGCAGGGAGACGCCAGGGCAGACACCTGTTCCCGATGTAGAGCGGCTCGTCGTCCTTCAGCCAGGAGACGGCGAGCTTCAGGGAGGGGTCGTGCTTCACCCGGCACTCCAGCTGCACCGTCGTGCCCCGCTTGACCGTCTGGTCCTCGGGCATCCGGAAGATCCTGGTGGGGTCTGGGGAGAAACGCAGGGGCTGGCTGTCCTTGACAAGGCCCCCACCCACCACCTCAGGGCCATATGCTCACCCCTCGGGGTCAGCCGCACACAGAAGGTGCAGAAATAGTCTCAGTCGCATGAACAGGGGGAGCCTGGTGTAGGTGAGCCCCGATAGTAAACCAGCCCCCAGTCCTTCCTGTCTGGGGAATGCAATTTCTGGGGTGGGAATGCAATGTCTCCCCTCTGTGCCGCTGTGAATGGTGGTTTCCCTTCCCAATTCTTTTTTTCCCCACTATTTATTTATTTTTTATTTATATGTATTTTACATCATTGTTCATTTTTAAACAATGTTTGTTTTATCCCCCCCCCCTCAGGTGTCGTCTCCATAGAATTTCCTTCACCAATTGATTCCACTCCTAGGGATTGACCCAAAAGACAAAAACATTGATTCAAAAGAATACCTGTACCCCCATGCTTACTGCAGACCTATTTACAATAGGTAAAAACCTGGGAACAAACCAAATGCCCCCCTTTACCTTTGACCTCCAGGCGGACCTGGTTCTCAGCCTTGCCCAGGATGTTGGTGGCCACGCAGGTGTAGATGCCTTGGTCCTCCTTGCGGATCATCTTGATCTCCAGACTGCCGTTCTCATAGACATGGTAGTTGCCGCCATCCAGGTTGCTCCCTTGCCCATTCTTAAACCTCACGACAGAGCAGCAGAACACACGGCATGCTGAGAAGGCCCAGTGGCTGGGCAGTGACTACCGGGACCGCCGTGGCAGAACAAGGACCCACTCGGGGGTCTGGAGCACAGGGACCTGCCTGGCCCGGGGAACCTGGCAAGCCCCTGGCCAGCCAGGCCTCCGCCCCCTTCTTGGCACTGTAAGGGGGTCGACCCAGAAGGTCTGCCAAGTTCCCAGGCCTTGCTAACACCTACTATATGTCAGGTGGGAATGAGAAAGGCGAGACAGGACCCTGAGAGGGAGGGCTGGTCTCCCGGAACTTACCATCGGAGCGTGGGGATGGGGGATCCAAAAAAGGGGCAGTCCAGCCGCGTCCGGTTGTAAAGGATCACCCGAATGAGCTGGTTCCGGGGAGACAGCATGCGAGGCGGCACGTCTGCAATTCCCATGGAGCCCGTCTTGGGTGGGGAGTCGACTGTGTCGGTTCTCCCCCTCAGTCTTACCGCTACAGGCCTTCTCCTTCCGGCAGCTTGCCAAGGGCCAGCAAACCTTCCCCTATCATCCTCCCTTCTGCTAGCAGCCTTGAGGGACTAGGAGGGGGAGGAGGAAGCTTATCCATCTGCCTCGACCTCCCTGCAACCCAGCTTTTGGACGTTATCCAGCAGGTTCTGTGCCTGCTTGTCCATGGCCGGCAGGCACCTCCTTGCAGCCCCTCTCACTGCCGGCTCCCTGCTCAGGGAGAGCTGCCAACTCAGAGGCATTTCCCAACCGAGTCCCGCCAAGAGGCAAGGCAGGTACAGTCAGCCTGGGTTCGCCAGGAGTGAGACAGGCCACGGTCCTGCATTGGGGAAGGGGGAGACAAGACTGACTTCTAGCGGGGAGTCAGCTCTCACATCCGCTCGTGGATCTTAGCTCCTCCATCCTTCCTGCAAAGTGCATTTCGGTCTCTCTGATTCCCCCATGAGCCTGCCCTCCTGCTACAACAGCCTGGCTGATCTGGGGTGGGTGTGCTGAGGTGGCAGCGTGGGCACGTGCGCACTCACCCAGCACGCTGACGAAGGCGTTGGCCAGCAGGTAGCCGTGCTCGTTGGAGGTGTTGCACTGGTACACGGCCCTGCTGCTGATCTGGGTGTCCCGGAAGATGATGGTGTCACCAGCCACCTCGCGGTTTGGGTTGGGTGGTGCCGCTACGGATAAGAAAGATGCTCCGAGTCAGAAACAGGAGGGAGTCAGGGCTCTGGCCCAGGCTCCCTCGCAGAATCAGGTGCTGTGGAAGCAGCAGCACAAGAAAGGGCCCAGGGGACCCGTCTTCTGTCCCACCAGTGCTGAGCTGGGACCTGGGGCCCCTCTTCAAACCTCCTGCAGCTCACTTCTCAATGTCTGGCTGGAAAAGGATCACCTGCCTCACCTGGAGAGCACCAGGCGGCTGCGGCCAGAGCACACGCTGGGCCAGGGAGGGGTGTGGAGTCTAACCACGTGAACTTCTGGGGCTACTAATCCTCTAAGCTTTGTTTCCTTGACTGGAGAACAGTGTGACCCCCACTCTGTGGGGCTTATAAACATGACTTGAGATTTTATACATGGATGAGGTCGTTGGCAGAGGGTCCGGCACATGCTGACTATTGCCGCTGTCACCATGTGGGTCTGATGTGTGTCCACTTAAGTGTGTCATGAAGCAAGGAGGCGACACACGACCTGCGACCTTCCCTCCCTTGAGCAGAGCGTTCCCCAGACAGTCATGAGTTAAACCCAAGGCCCACGGCCTGCGTAGACTGAACAGGTCCTGGTACTTCACAAGGCTACCTGGTCTTCCTAGGACACATATCCTAACTAAGAGAGAACATACCCTCTGCAGTTCTTGGGGTGTGCTGGTTGGGGTACACAAGGCACAGGAAGGGTACACATCACTCTGGGGCTCAGGGAAAATCAATAAACCTCCCTGGGTCACCTTTCAGTCACTAAGTGGGAAAGAATGACTCCCGTCTTCCCTCTACTCTGAGGAAGGTCAAGGTGAGAGGATGAAAATGAGCTGTAAACTAAGTTTTCCAGAGGGATGAAGAACTGCCTCTCTGCTCATCTTTCACCACCACAAGGTGACCTTCCTCTTTAAGACTTCATGGGGGGAGCAGATGACTCATCCGGGGTCACTCAGACCTACAGGGACAGTCAGACCTGGGGTCTGGCCCTGCGGGCACCACTCTACAGATAGCCCGGAACTGGGGTGTCAGCAGGAGGTAAAGGGAGACAAGTCAGCATCCTTAAGGTCCTTCCCTGAGTCCCCACTCAGCAAAAAGGTGCGAGGAAGACAAGCCAGCACCTTCAGGGAGCCCTTCCTGGGCAGTCGCCACAGACCCACCCACTGGGTGATGGGTGACTGCTCCAGGGCTGTGCGTGCAGCGCCTTCGTGAGCCTGGTCCCCAGAGCGCTGACAGGGCAGGGAGAAGAGAAGAGGGCAGGCCGCACCCCATCTTGTACCAGGGAAGGCTACTCCCCAGGGATGGCTGTAGGCACAGGCCTGGGCAGCAGAAGCCAGGCCCCTTTTCTCACCCCTCCCATGGCTGCCACCTACTGGCCACGTGGCCTGGCAGTTCATGGCATCTCATTCCATCATTAGCGTCTGTTCAAGAGGTGACAGGGCTGTGGCCCCAGCTCAGTGCCGGGGCACACACCAAGCAGTCTCGCCATCGAATTTTTTGCTCCATTTGGTTGATTTCCCTGCCTTGGCCTCTGACCCCTGGGGAGAAGATGATGCAGAAGCCTGGCCAGGACCTCTGCAGAAGGGCCCAGAGTTGCTGCCCAGCCCTCGGCACAGCCCCTCTCCAGAGTCTGCACTAGGCCACGGCCCCGCTGCGTCCCTGCTCTCATGGGAGTGTGTCCTCACACGCAAGCGCACCCTTTGTCATACCACCCAGCTCTTGGGTGACCAACAACTGGCGGCTGAGCTCCTGTCTACCTCCCAAGCCCACTACCTTCCAGCCACCACCGGGGCCCAGATGCTCAGGCACAGCACAGCCCCGGGAAAGCCAGGCTCTGTTGTTAAGGGCAGAAAACAGATTTAAGAAAAATCCAGCATCACAGGAATCCCCTAAATGCGGACGGTAACAGGCCTCCTGATCTTTCCCACCAAGACGAGGATGGCTTCCTGCCTCCTGAGATGTCCCAACACACAGGCAGCCTCTTCCGGCACCACCAGGCTGCCCACAGGGATGGGGACCCCAAGACTTTGCCTGGGGAGAGTGGAGTCAGGGGGAGGACAGCTGGTTACTCACACTGCAAAGGCTCCCCATTCACCATCCACTGGACGGTGGGCTTGGGGTTCCCATTGGCTCTACACACCAGTCTCCCGTCTTCGCCAGGAGCCAGGATAAGATTCTTGGGTTCGTCTAGCCAGTAGGGAGCAGCTGGAAGACAAGGACAGTGCAGGCAGTGGTGTCAGACAGCAGGGGCAGGGCGAGGAAAGTAGGCCACTGAGAGGCAGCCCGGGCCCTCACCACCTGCTCAAGGCTCGCCCTCACAGACCTCCTGCCTTCGGCTGGCCTGGCAGGCACCACAGAGGCCAACCTGTCTATTTCAGATTCCAGAATTATGTTCTAAACTGGGGCGGCTCACCAGTGTCTCTGAAGAGCTCTGAACAAACATGGGCACCCGGGCCCTTCCTGGACCCAATGAGTCAGAACCCTCAGGAGGCCTGGTGGCAGGCGCTGTCAGAACTCCACAGGTGTTCATGATGGGCACCCATGGGCGTGAGGCACAGGGCTGACCCCTGGGTTTCTGCTGTTGCTGCTTCAAGATGAGACAGTACTCACTCTTCTGGGCACTGCACTGCTGTTAGAGCTCTTAACTTTCCAGACAGCTTTTAACTGTCTGGAAAGTTCTGTGAATGTGTAGATGTGAAAAGGATCCTTTGAATCAGATTTGCAAAGATCTTGATCCTCTAAAAGAGGCTAAGAGGGGCCTCCCTGGTGGCGCAAGGGATTAAGCATCAGCACTATGAAGCTATCCGCAGCCACTGAAGCACGAGTTCAAGCCCTGGCCAGGGAGGTGACCCACATGGAGCAGCAGACCTCTCCTGTCTCGCCCACCTGCTGCTCCCCTCAGCAGTGTATTTCAGTAGATCTGCCTGTTCTGCTCCCCACTCTGTCTCTGGTGAATCCACTCACCCCCATCACCTCTGTACCCCAGTTCTTGTGTGCATAAATAAATAAACCTTTAACAACAACAACAAAAAGAGGCTAAGAACCTCTGGTTTGAGTGTGGGGCTGAAAATTGGCCCCCTGAGTGCACTGAGAGCCCTTGCAGGACCCAGTCACCCCAGGCTGAGCAGAGTGGGGGCACCCATAGGAGACCCTCAAAGGCTGTGCTCCACCGCCTGCCTCAGGTGGAACAGCAACACTCTGGGGAGGGAGCCACGATGACTCCACATTTTGAAAAGTAGCACAGTACCAAGCAGAGGTCTCTGACAGCACAGGACTTGGACGACATGCCACAAACAGGACCGCGGGATGGAATAAAGAAGAGGCTCAGGTGTGCTCCAAATGGACCATGGGAGGAGAGTCACCTGCTGAGGGAGCCCCTGGGCGATGGTGAGGGTACCCCACCTTCCCTTGACCCCCCATTGCACATACACACCCACCACACACACCACACACACATACCACACAAACACATCACACACACACCACAAATACCACAAGACCACACACATCACACTACAAGACCACACACACACCATACTACAAGGCCACACAGACATAACACATACCCCACACCCCCACCACACACACAACACATACACACCATACACACACCAGACCTATACCCTACTACACCTACCACACACACAATGCATGCACACCACACACACCACATCACACACATACCACACAACCATACCACACAAACATACCACACCCTACCACACCCCACACCCCCACACACCACAAATACCACACATATATACCACACCACCACCACACATACCTGGACATGCACCCCCACCACAGACACCAATACATACACACACACCCATCATACAACCCCCACACCAGACATATACCCACCGCACACATACCACCCTCCACCCAAACACCCACCACAGTGACACCGTCCCTGGCAGGCCACTCTGGCCACTAACCAGCGTGTTAGCTGTTTCCCCTCCTCACACTGCCCTAAGTGGCTCTTGGGGGAGGGTGGCACAGGGTATAAGGCAGCAAAATCATTGTAATGAGAAATACACACAACGTACCCTTTACTCTCACCGAGATCGTGTGCCGGATGCTGCCCATCTTGTTAGAGGCCAGGCAGAAGTACTCCCCGGAGTCTTCCTCAGAGACGTTGGTGATCCGTAGGGCCTTGTTAAAGTTCTCAAACTTGGCCTTGTCAGATGGGAGGTCCCCGCCTTTCTTGTACCACGCGATGTCCGGTGTGGGGCTGGAGAGGGACAGCAGGACACGGGCCTTGTCACTCACGGGCCCTGCTGCTCCTCTGCACAGCTGGGTCCCTGGCCCCTGGAATAGGGTGCTTGGCCCCGGGGTGCCTGTCCTGTCAGAGCTCAGCTCTCCCCCGGGGAGGGGTTTCGGCTACAGAGTATCCTGGCACGTCTGCAAGGTGACCCCGGATTCAAGCCTGACCAGATGCCTACCTATCTCCCCACCACCCAAAACAATGACAGGATAGAACAGAGATGACTATGATTTGCAAAGTCCTCACCAAGTGCCATTTGTGTCTCCTTTTTTCCCCCGCCCCATGCGGCAAGAACAGAGCACCCCCCTGAAGGTGGCCAGAAGTGGGGTGCGGAGGGTACGTACACCCCGGAGGCGATGCACTCCAGCAGGAGGTCCATGCCGCGCAGCACCATCTGGCTGCTTGCGGTGCCCTGGGGATACATGAAGCTGGGTGTTCTCTCGGCAACCCCTCGTGCTGAAAGAGGATAGAACAAGCTCCCGTCAACCTCCTGCCTGAGGCTGACCCAGCCAGGCCAGAGCTGTCAGAGTGGAGAGAAATGTCCTCACGCCCCGGCTTAAATTCAGAAGTACGAGCCGGACCCTCCCAGCCGAAACCACCCCAGGGCCGGGCATCATTAAGAGAGGGGTGTTAGGAAGCACGGAGCCCCCGGGCCCCACCAGCACATGTGTGAGCAGCTCTAAGTTCTAAAAGGATCCACCGAGAGAAGCCAGCTTCCCTGGCACTCCTGTGGACCCCTCCTTCCTGGGAACGGGGCGAGGGTGCCTGTGTGTTGCGTTGAGACCCGGAGGCCTATATGGTGGCCCCCAAGGGAGGCCATCTCAGCTGCAGATCTTGTGCCCGAGACAAAGATGTGGAAGAAAAAGAAGGCAGATATTTGGGCCACAGGACAGGCCACCTGCTCTTGGGGACCCTGGAGATAAGGAGCTGGGACGAAGCCACAAGACCCAGATGAACAGTCAGAGGTGCAGGGAGCGTTATTAATGGCTTAGCAAAGACGTGGAGAGAATTAATGAGCAGAGATGACAGGAAATCACCGTGGGGCTGAGACCATTCTGCTTCTTCACTAATGGCTTTGGAAGGGGCTGGGGGGAGGGTGTTAATTGGATGAGAGAGAATGGGGAGGGGGAGAGGAAGGTGGCAGCCAAGATGGAGGAGGTGATGCACCACTCAAGCAGGCGGGAACAGCCGTGGGGGGTCGGAACCCAATGGCCTGGGGCTGGGGGAGCGACATTGAGGGTGGCTGCCTCCCTGTGGATGTGGCTGTGCGAGCCTGGGGGCCCCCGCGGGCCCGAGCCTCGCTCTCAGAGCTCTCTGCACAGTCCTATGGACATAACATGGAGGGGAGAAGAGAGGGGGCTTTCCAACCTGGAGCGGCATGGAAGCTGGGGGAGGCATTCCCTGCTGGAAGGTGTATGATTAGAAACAAGACAAGTTTAAAATACATGTAAGCTGAGCCTCCCATGGATTTAGTGGGTCTCAAACTCAGCAGGAGAGAAGAGCTGTGGAAAGAGGCAGAACTTCCCGAGCTGGGAGTCCTCGGAGAGGGCGTGTTTGCAGGGAAGGGCTGGAGAGCAGGTAAGGGGTGCCGGCAGAGTGAGGACAGAGTGGCAGGGGCCTGTCTCTGGGACACTGGGGTCTCCTGAGCCTGCTGGACTAGCTGGCGCCTGGCTGGGGTGTGGGCTCTTATCCCGGGGGCGCTCAGCTTCTCTCCATCAGCCCCCAGGGATGCATTTCACCAGTCGGTGTCAATTTTCTTCTTTGGTCAGAGGAAGAAGGGGTGAAACAGGCAGACAAGGTCAGGCCGCGGGCACAATACATGGCACATAGCGGGTGTCCGTAAATGTGTGTAGGTGAACGAATTAAAGGGGACAAGAGACGAAAGGGCAGCACTAACGCCAGAAGCTACTTCTCTTTCTGTAGATGTCCTCACCTGTCCACAGCACGCATGTACGACTGTGGCTACGGAAGGGTTAATCCATTATGTGGTTAATTGGTTACCGTCTGTATCTATAGCTCTTATGGCATCCGGCTCGCAGTACCAAGGCCACCTGATACCAAAGCAGTAGCTTCCTCCCACCGATCGTCACAGAATTATCAAAATGGTACAAGGTCAAGTCACCACGAGAGGGAGGTGCAGGTCAGCAGGCCCTGGTGTCAGGTTGGTGGGTCTGTTGAGAGTGGGGACCCCAGGAATATATGGAACAGGTTCTAGTCGTTGGTGTACACCCGCCATGCAGGGACAGGATCTGCAGACGCCAGCCTGACCTGCAGACATTTGATTCTCACCATCGCATGGAGACCACAAGCACTCGTGACCCGCGGAGCATGAAGCCAGGAAGCAGGGGCAGGGAGCAGAGCCCTACAGGCGCCGTGGCCGCCACAGCTGTGACGGCAGAGGCCAGAGCAGTACTTCACTGGGGGAAGTGGGCTTGAAACCATGGGATGATCCCAAAAGGATCATGGATTTAGCCAGAGGTCAAAAACATAGGGAAGAAGACCCTAAAAGTCAGAGGTGATGACCAGGGCGGCGCTAGCGCCTCCACCCACAGCCTCTTCACAACAACTGGGAGCAGCACACCCATTCCCCACAGCTCTGTGAAGTCACAGACTTGTCCACGGTCACAAGCCAGTTATGTTTTGGATCCTGGGCCACTCGGCACCAAGCTCCTGCTGCTTTGCACTGGTTTTACTCCTCGATGTTGCTTCTCTGCAAAGGAGGCCTTGCTGTCCCACCTTCTGGCAGTTGGCCTTGGGGTACATTTCTTGCTCAAACCAAAGAAAAGAAAAATCTAAAAATCTTAGTGAAATGCCCTGGTGGACTTCCCCAACGCCTTCTCCTCAAATCTGTCCTCAGCGGCTCAGCTAAGATCCTGCTTCTCCTCAGAGGCTTTCAAGTGAACACAGGCCCAAGCTGGAAAATAAAGCTGGGGAGGGAATTCAGAAGCTTTTGGCCTGGATCCTTAAGGCTTGGAAAGCCTACAGATGAGCCGGGGACATGGCACCACTGAGATGAGAGGACTGGACCCCAAGGGGAGGTTACGGGGACTTAGGGGAAACTGATGAAGGGTGACCCGACTGGGAGCTACTGCTCCCAAAGGAGGGTGACTAATTTCCCTGGAGAAGGGACAGTCTCTGAGACAGGGAAGCATTAGATGAAACTCTAGGAGACGCCAGAAGGTGACGAGGCAGCGTCTCACTGCATGGCCCAGGACATCCACTCTTCCACCGTAGTCAGGGATGCCAGGAGAGGCTGTCCAGCCTGATGACCTTCTGTTATCCTCCCTATTCTTCGGGGCTAGGGTCAGACCTAACGCCTGATCAAGCTCAGAATCCAGATGCTCAAACTCATGCCTATGAGGATTCAGCGCCTCCCACACAGGCCCACTGCCCTCTCGGCCAAGGGCAGCCACCCTCTCCTGCAGCTGCAGCTGTGGCTCAAGCGTAGGGTTCCAGTGGAATCTGGTTAGCAGGGGGCACCAGGAGATGGCACTGTCTCAACCACCTTGGCTTTACAGGGCCAGTGAAAAGCGCCTCTTGATCATCCCCCGCAAGAGGAAAGGTCAAGACCACCGAGAACCCGGTGGCCCCCTCAGTCAAGGGCTGCGTCTTGGCAGAAGAGAGCTCGCTGAGTCAGCTGCTTCAGAGAACCTTTGCCAAAACCAGCTTTTAGGGGCAGCTGGAGTCTGTACCACTGCTGTCAATTCTCAGAATTGAGAGCTCACGGGACTGGACTCAGGCATCTCAGTCAGTTCTCTGGCTCTGGGAATGGCTGACAGACACTCCGGAAGGTGAGAAAAACTCCTTGTCTGGTAACATCTGATGCCTTCCACGGCCAGGAAATCTCATCTAGAAGCCAAGCCCAAATCATGCAGCATCGGAGCCTCTCCTTAGCCAGTGCTCAGAACAGCCGAGGACCCGGGCAGCGTTCATTTCCTCTGTCTGCCCCAACATCTCTGCCTCCACAGGGATGGCTTCCTGCAGCATGCTGCCGCTTTGCCCTTGACTTCTCCTCGAGTTTTCCGTGTCTCTCTCAATGTCAGAAGCACAGAATCCTCATGCGGTCGACACCGAGCTAGTTCTCCCCATACCACCAGTGGGTACCCTCCAGGTGCTGGTCTCCATCCAGCACCATCCAGGAGCCACACACACACTCTTCTGCTTGATCTGCATGGCAGTCCCACAGGGAGGGGACACACCCATTTTGCAGGTGAGGAAGTTAAAGTTCTGAGTTGTGGGTCTGTTCCAGGCAGCCCACCCGAGGGTGCTCTCTTCAGTCCTTGTCTTCTTACCCGGGCATTTGGGATGGGGAGCTACCCTCTCAGACCACCTCTCTGCTACTCCGCAGGTCAGGGGTATCCAGCACACGTTCAGAGGATACCAACCCACGGTAGAAATCACCAGAAGCAAATGATAGAAGAGAAATAGCACATTTCCAAAGGCAGACAGCTGCCCTGGTGTTTCTCATTGCACTGTCTCTGTCCAGCTGCCTGCACTCAAGAGGAACTTTATCTTCCCTTCTTTCTTTTTATTTTCTGCCTTTCTGGAAGCAGTTGCCCTAGCTGTCCTTCCCTTTAATGTCACAGTCTTCCCGGTCGGCTTCATACTTGGCCAGTGCAGTTCTACCTTGGACTGAAGAGGACGGGTCAGCCTCCAGGGGAGACCTTCTGAGCTTGGTTCCAGAGCCCTGGGCGGTTCTGATAACTCCCACTCACTCGCTTGTAATATTGGCCACTGGTCACAAACTAGGTCAGCGGCTGGAATCATTCAAACACATCCTGTTGGTAAAACCACCTCAGGGCCTGCAAGTTCCAAGTGGCTGAGATTATGTGCAGTTCAGAGCGTGGACCACATGGTCTCAAAGGGACCTGCTGGCCTGATACACAACAGCTTTAAAAATGCTTCAGTAATAGATCACCCAGAATCCAGTTTTGCAAAGGGATCATCCCACACCAGCGCTCTGGGGTCATCCCACCATGGTGGCTGGCCCCATTATTTGAAAACAATGTCCAGAATGCAGCGAAGATCCTGCTTCCTGGGGCAGTCCCTCTCTTGGGCAGGACCTCAGAGCGCCTCTTGCTGCTTGGTGTCAAGTTAGAGCCTCTGCTTCATTCCTGAGTGATCCCATCCCCCACTCCAGAAGCAGACCATCGTTTATATTAGCACATCACAGTGCAGACACTTCCTATCTATTTGAGCCTGCAATGACCCCCCTGGGGACTTGCAACCTCAGCTTCCAAGGCATAACTGATGATGGGGGCCAGCTGCCTCACTACAGCAGGCAAATGAGGATTCCTCTGGCTGCTCAAGGAAAGCGAGACATTCTTGAGCAGGCATGGGGAGAAACTCAGGTGTGGAAACAGCCAATTACTCCATTAATCAGAGTAAGCGAGCAGCTGTGTGATAAATTAGAAACAGGCTTCACAGAGATTGCCCCATGAGAACGCATGGGCTGGCGGGCACTGGATTCGTGCATGCCCCCAAAGGGGAGAAGTGGCAGAGGCGATCCCCCCACTTCACTTGTGTTTACCTTGGAAGAAAACTCAGCGTGTGGGACCTGTAAAACAGCACCCTCAGTAGCTGAGACTATTGCAATGCAGTTCACATCCGGCCAGTTAAGAGTTAACTAAACACACACTACAGAGCTTGCTGTGCTCTTTCAGCCAATAACTGCAACCCAACGTCCTGTTTCCTTCTCACTATGGCAGCTCACCTAATCTCAGGCAGTCTCTAACCATCCAGCACTGATTCTGAAGTGTCTACTGAGCCCCTCCAAGAAGCTCTTTTCAAGCCCAGGTTTGAACCATTTGTCCATAGTGCAACTCCTGAGGCCTGCATATCAGAGGAGACTCACAGCCACATGAGCCCCTGAGCTCCCCAACGGGCCGCCCCCCTTCAATCAGCACTCTCTGGAGGTGGCGTGAGGATCTGGCCTGGCCAAGGGCCACCCAGCATAAGTTAATGACATGCTATCAGTCAAGTTAGGCAAACAGGGGTTAGGACAGGCAAGGTTACTCCCAAGGTCACCGCAGCGACTCACCACTGTACATGTCAGGGTGGTTTCGTAAGGACGAGTCATTATGGGGGTTGTCTGCAATAAACAAAAGAGGGTGAGCAAACAGGAGGGCACGGAGCATCAACGGTGAGAGAACAAACAGAAATGCAAAGCCACAAAAACAACTAAGGCGTTTTGCAAAGGAAAGTCGTGGCGTATTTGGAAAGGAAATCTGCTTGGTGAAGAACAAGCGACACAAAACGGCCCCCAATAGGGAAGAAAAGGTTAAATCCTGCAAAAGAAAGCAATAATAAAATAAATTTCTTTGTAATTAAAGAAATTAAACTTGGCCTTTAGTTGTTCGGTCCTATTATGTTTTCAAACAAATGAGATAAGGATTAGTGGTTTCCTGTAGCAGACTTTGGAACCATCCTTTCCATCAAAATCCTCAGTTCCCAGGACTCTGGGTCAGGCCAGCTCCCAGGACGGCTAAGGAGAAAGGAATGTCAAGTTCAACCTGAAGCAGAAGCTAAGAAGGTGAACGAGAGGAGAGACAGTCCAAGGGAGATAGCTCATCATCAGAGACAGCAGGGCAGGGGGACCTTGCACAGGGCCCTGCAAGCTTGTGCTGACCGACAACAGACACCCTTAAGCTGACCAGCGGGCACCACCTTGGTTTCCGAGATGATGCCTGTAGATGGTGTGGTAGGCAGAAAGGTCTCATACTGAGAGCACCAGGGAAACAGGGAGAGCTAAGCTGAGGTCCAGATTTCAGACCAGAGAGGGAGCTGGGACAGGAGAGGGAGCTGTGAGCTCTCTGCTCTGGGATGGGAAGAGCCAGCTGAGCAGGCTGGAGAGTCACTGTTCTCCAGATTGGTTTGGGATGAACATGTTCCTTAAGGAGCAAGATAGGAGTCTTGGTTTTCCAAAGCTAGGTGATCAAAACCCTTGGGGATTTAATTCTTCACAAGAAAGACATTTGGAACAGGGCACGTGGTCATGCCAATGCCCTTAAGTAGCTTTTCACTCCTCTGCCATTGTTCCCTTCCAGACACTGGACTCAGGTTTTGACAGAACCAGCAGGGGGTGGAGTGAGGCTGACTGGAAGCCAAGCAGACAGCCCCAGAACCGGGAACACAGCCCAAGGGCCTGCAAGAGGGGCTGCGCCAGGACATTTGCATATCCGCAGGCAGAGTAAGTCCTCTGACTTCAAGGGGTCTGTGAGCTCCTTCCTGGCATTGCACAGTGCCTCAATCTGCCCCACATTCAGGAGGGAGATTTCACTGTCCAGAACTTTCCTTTGAGATGGGGTGAGCTGCAAGAGACCTCGCTGAGGTTGGGAAGTCGGGTTGGGTTTATCTGGAGCTCAAGGTGGGGATGTATCTAGTAGGGAATGAGAAGGGGCGGGTGGCAGAGGGTCTGAGGGTCTTGGCGACGCCCCTCCCTGGGGAGGCCAAGACCTCACAGAGGTGAATCAACCTCTCTGTGCAGAGAAACTCCACCTCAGAGTTTGTGGATTCCAGTGCACATCTGAGAATTCAGGGGTCTCTCTGACATCTATGGGGACATCACTCAGCCAGCAGGCGTTAGAAGGAAGCAGGGTTAGTGCTCCACACCTGCCTCAGGAAGAACCACCCTTCCCCCACCACAGGAGGAGGCCCAGGAGCCAGGCCATGCTGGGCAGCATGGGGCAGGCACATCTCTGAGAGCCCGGCTTGCCGTCGACCTCTGTCTATCCCAACACAGAGCTTTGATACCTTCCTCGCCTTGTTTTTATCACGGGTAACACAGAACTGATAGAGATGAAATTTATTTCTTCCTCAAGGGGCAAACTGAGCCGGAAGCCCTGGTGAGAGGGTTTTGAAGCTGTCCCAACTGGCCGTTGGCTCCCACCCCCAGACCTGGTTCCGAAGGTACAAAAAAGGCCTGTGTCCTCTCCAGGCAGGAAAGACAAGAGAACACAAGGGCACTATTTTCAGCAGCTGTGCCCAATTCTGGGCTGGCGGGGCCGCCAAAGCTACAGCTGGTGGGGTGCCAGGAAGCTGATGGGACTCCGTTCCCATCACCCCACAGGGTTCTCATCATTTTTGGGGGAAGAGTTTGCAGCGCAGTAGGGGACCCAGAAATGAAGCAGAACAAACTTCCTTTACCTCCTCTGCTAGAGAAAAGGATGTTTGTGGCATATCCAACCTCTAAACGTTGCCGAATCTCTAGCTGCTTAAATCCATAGAGGTTTTTCACCATCCTATTGCCCTGCCTTTACCCTGTGAGATGGTAGGGGCTGCCGAGTGGCACCCCGGAAGGGCAACCTGTGTCTCCCCCAGGAAGCTGGCTGGCTTCAAGCGCTGTGCTGGGCGGGAGAAAGGAACCTGGGTGATGGCCCTGAGGCTGTCCAGAGGCTAGCGCTGCAGCACCCTGCTCTTGGCATTCCCGCCTCCCCCATGGCTCTGTCCTGGTTCTGGAGGTCATTCTGGGTCCTGAGTAGACCACACTGTCCTTCCCAGCTCAGCCAGCTGGCAGGTGACAGCTCCTGACGTACACCGAGGACACACTTCAGACAACCCAACTTCCTCCTCTAGGGGTCCCCCACCTGGGGCCCGGGTCTGGAGTAGGAGAGCCAGCCTCAGGCTGGGCAGCCAGGCCAGGAACACTCGGGGCTTGCCTGGGTGTTTGGACATCCTGTTGGCTATCAAGTTATGAGCAGCACCGTGCCAATTCAGAACAGTGACTGAGGAGCTGCAGAGGCAGGAGGTAAAATGGGGATATGGGGTTCAAAGAGAGAGGAGAATAGAAGAGCAGAGGGGGGAAAATAGGAAGGAGGTAAAAAAAAAAAAAGGAGTGGGAAGAAAAGGAAGAGAAAGGAAGCAAACATATGACAGGAGAACAGAAAGGAGGCTGTTTCTGGTGGCTCCAGCCCCCTATGGGGAATGGGGAGGGGGCTGGTCCCTCAGCACCACCTGCTTCTACCTGCAGCAGGGGGTGGTGGGGAAAGAGAGTGGGAAAGGGTCGGGCCCCAGGGGTCCTGAGTGAAGAGTTCACCCAGGCCCTCCTCCGGCCCCACACCCACCCAGGAGGCTGGTCCTCAGCCACCTGCATGTCACCCTCAGCCTCTCTCTGACCCGGGCAAGCAGCCAGGTCCTCCCCACGTGTACTCCCCCTAAATCACCACCATCTACAATGTTGAAAACAACATTCGTGGTTGAGTCGGCCTGCACTCTGTGGATCTTCTCTGGGTGGCACGTCCCAGGTCCACAGGGGAAGCCACAGAGCCACTCAGCTTGGGCCCAAGCTCTGGCCAGCAGCCTGGCAGGAGGAGGGTCTCTGCACTGACTAGCTTCTCTCTCCCCGCTAAGGAGGTTCACCAAGGCTACGATGGGTTAGGAAACAACTCGCTTGGGTACCAGTCAAAAAGAATGGGAATAACAACAAAAACAAATAAAACAGAAAAATAAGTCTGTAAACATAAGTCTGTAACTTGCAAATATAGACATCCCATATGGTTCAGCATGTACAATTCATTTTGGTGTGCTCACTAATGTGGATACTGTGTGTTGTGGCTTTAGTCTAGAAATAAAGATAACCAAAGAATGACCAGAAATAAAGATACAATCAAGGAGGTTGCCCGGGAGGCTGCTGGGTGCCCCCTTAATGCAGGGCTCCTAAACTCTACTGTTTGACCCAAGCCACTGAGCACTGAGGAAGAAGAGAGCCTGGGGCTGCCCGGACAGAACAGGGCTGGGCCTGGGGGTGAGGCCAAGCTTGCCAGCAGATCCTGATGCCCAGGAAAGTCTGGGGAGCACTGATTAGTGCTTCTCAACCAACAAAGCAAAGATGCATTCAGGTTTCAGAATCAAGAGGCATGTTGAAAGGCAGTGGGACTAGCTCGGGTACAACGAGCTGCAAGTACTCCTAGGTCAGCCTCAGAGACAAGTCTCTCCCAGATCAGGTACCTAGGACTGCGTGGGCTTGGTAGGCTCTGCCCCTGGCCCCCACCCCAGGCAGGGACCTGCACTTACTGGTGAGGACCTTGAGGGTGAAGGGGTTTTTCTGCTGGATGGTGTGGGTGAAGTGGAAGCGGGCATTGCAGCTGTAGTCGGTCTGCATATCCTGCAGCATCACGTTAGAGAAATACAGGTCTCCGTTATGGCCCTGGGAGACACGCTTGTCTTGGGTGATAGGCTCCATGGCTGGAAGGAAGCAGAGGGACAGGGGAGGTTAGCAGTAGTGATCAGAACGACAGTCACCGTGGTGGTGCTGGAGACTGAGGCCCGCAGGGGGCCAGGCGGGGTCAGGCGTCCAATGTGCATGGTGTGGTCTGATCTTCTCAACTCTGAGGGAGGGGCCTGTTCTATTTTATAATAAGGAAGCTGAGGTTGCACAGCAGTCAGGGGAGAGTAGGATTCGGCCTGCCTGGCCTGCCTGCCCAGCACGCCCACCTCTAGACATTTTTGAATGTCTGTGTTCGTCACTGACCCTAGGGCCAAAGGGATGGAACACAGCCCTTCCAATGCTCACCAGACCCGGAGTCAAACTCTCCTGCTAGAGAAGCAAGCCCTCAGAGGGCAGGAACCCAACCCTTTTTCATCATTATACCCAGCACCAGCCTCAGGACCTGGCACAGAGTAGGCACAGGTCACTAAATGAATTTGAACTTGGCTTTGCAGCATTTAATCAAAAATTTAACCAAAAATTATAAGATGAATCTGTTTTATTTGTAGCCACCCCCCAAAAAGAAAAAAGCATCCCCAGTTGTAATTGTAAGATACACCCCAATCAATGAAGCACACCATCAATCTGAGGACACCTTTCAATATTAGAGCTATTAAAATACCAGCACCTGTGCTTTTTAGAAGTAATGACATCATAGGAGTGGCTGAGAACATTGACTACAATATCGAAATTTTTTTTCAAGTACTGTGTCTTATGTAAACTCAAAGAACCAGGTGTTTCCAGGTTGTTAGGTTTATAAAAATATACTTACAAGGCTGATGACTTATAGATATCTCCTTATTGTTAAAAAAACAATTGCATTTAAGTCACCATTTCTTGAAGCACAAGGATGCCAACACTCCCATGTTGGGCTGTCAGCTCTTCAAATCATATATCAAAGATTTACTGTAGTGCCAGGCACTGTGAGAGGGGTTGGTGAGAGAGAGAGGCAGAGGGCAGAGACAGTTCCTGCCCTCACAGAGCCTGTTTCTTTACTAAAAGCAGCAGAGCCTGTGGTGAGAGGCCCCTCTATGGGCCTTGAGCTAGCACTTGAGGGTTGCTGAGAAGGCAGAAGGGAAAGAGCTAAGAGCTTTTTCAGGCACAGAGCGTGTGCTGAGGTCAGAGCATGGAGACAGCTGGGGGCAGGGGGCGGGAGGAGGCTGGAGGGGCTGGGCACCAGGACAGAAAGGAGTCTCCTGTCAGGGAAAGGCATCTGAACTTTGTCTGAGGTGGTGGGGGAGTGACAGGGACATATGAATGAATGAGACGAGGAGATTTTCATTTCAGAAAGACCAAGGAGGCCAGTTGTGGGTAGTTGTCCCGACCTAAGGGAAAGCTGGGGGTGGGCTTTGCTGGAGAGAGGCCGGCGGGGGTGGACAGAGGAGGACGGTCGTGGGGTCTGCTCAGGAGGCAGGTGGACACACTTGGTGATGAGTGTGTTGTGGGGATGAGAGAGGAGTGTGGGAACGTCACCTAATGAGTGAGCCAACCCTCAGCCCGGGGCCGGGAAGCTTAGCCCCCAGACAGGCACCGTGAGGAGGGAAGGGAGGGACAGTGACTGGCCACAGTCGTCCTCACCCTGCACAACACTCACAATGCTCTCACTGACAGGGCAGCCTCTTTTGGAAGCAGGCTGTGAAGACCCAGGGGTGGACAGAACAACGGAAGACAGGCAGGCAGGAGGATCTACAGACGCTGGGGCAGCAGGTGGGTGAGGAGGGAAGTGGGAGGGGAGGGGGGTGTGTAGGTGGGTGGGGGGGTGTGGGTAGGGAGGTGGGGGGTGGGTGGAGTGGGGGAGGAAGAATGGCAGGAAGGGAGGCAGGAATGGAGTGAGGGAGGAAACCAGAATGACACAGCTAGAAAGCAGTCAGTCCTCTCTTTGGCTGTGTAATGCCCCCTCGCTTTTATTTTAATTGAAAACATGGGAAGAAACTAAGGTCCCAAGTGTTATACGAGTCTCCAAGTCCCTGTCACAACTGAACCAGGGATGCTCTGAATGTCAGTAAATCTGAGCAATGGTACACCCTATCTCGCTATCAAACCTTTATCAAAAGTTTCACTTCTTTATCCCCCTTCTGTCCTATAGGAAGAGAAAATCAGAGTAAATCCAGGCTGACCAAAGGCTGCAAGCAGAGCCCTAGCAGCAACCTGCCTTCAACTGGTCTATTGAAAGCCTGTTCACCTACTTCTTGCCCTTCTTCATCACAAATATCACCAAACACTTATTCTGGAAAATTCTAAGCACTTTGGATGTATTAACCCGATTATTCTTATAATAGTTCTGGTAGATAACGACAATTATCAATCCTGTTTTTTCCAGAAGAGGAAAGTGTGGTCCAGAGACCACACCTGAGGCAACTCCATCAAGGTCACACAGCTCGGAGCAGCTGGGCTAGGAAGTGTCTAGTCAGACCCTGCCTCTCAGCCACGGGCCTCCTGACCTGCTTCTCACCAGCCAGGGTCTTCTGGCCTCAGGCAAGCCCCTCCCCATCCACACACCCACTTCACTCCCTCACCAGGTCCAGAGACTTACAGCTGCTCATCCAGAAAATGACGGGGGATGGGAGTCCGGGCGGGGGGTTGCACTGCAGTGTCAAGGGGGCGCCTTCTTGAACTACAACAGGGTCCAGGTTTTCCTTGGGCCACAGGGGAGATTCTGGGGAGAAACAGAGCAGGAGAAATGTGGGCGTTGGCTGGGGCCAGGGCAAGGGGCAGGCTAGATGCAGTCATGCCAGGAGCGAAAGAAGAGGAGCTGGGTGAACAAGGGTGACAGGGCCCGGGGTCTAAAGGTGGCCAGCCCATAAGCAGTAGGTGGCGGGAGAGAGGTTTCTGTCTGGGAATACGCCTCCTCAGAGGCTCCTCTCCTTCCCCTTCTCTGTGCTCAGCAGCTGGTGGCACTGTTCAAGGTTCTAGTTTGGAAGCTTCCTTTCCAAGGAATCTTTTTGTGTTGGGGGAGGTGCACCCCACTCAGGCAGAGGAGCAAGCAGGACATGCAGGGCACCAACAGGCCAAGGGGGACCCTCTGGAATGACCCTCTGTCCAAGAATTGGGGTAAGTGGCCCTGCCCCAGGCTACTCACTGGACACCTGCAGACGGATCCGATTGGAGAGGGCAGTACCAAATTTGTTGCGGGCGAAGCACTGGTATTCCCCCTCGTACTCCTCCGGCCGCCCCCCGCTGCGGAAGTCAATCACCAGGGTCCCAGACCGCCTCCTCATTGACACCCGGGGGTCCTTGGCAATGTTGAAGAACCTGCTGTTTCGAGTCCAGTGGAAGCTGTGGAAAACAAGGAGCAGAGTTGCAGGGGCAACAAAGAGAGATAGGATGGGTTCCAGCCTCCAGAGGAGTTTTGGGGCCCTAGTCCCCATCTCTGCCCCATGACTACAACTCTATGCCAGTAGGTTCCAGGTGGCTGAGCAGTATCCAGCGGGGATGCCTGTCAATGCAGAGTCCCACGTCCCACCCAGGTGTACCTCCAGAACCGGCCCCTGTCAGTATCTTCAGGCCCAGTGAGGGTGGTAGTCATGGCTCCAGACACCCAAGCACCCTCAGGGGATTATGTTCTGTGAGAAGTGAAGTGATTCTGACTTTTTAAAATCCCAAGGGAGCTGCTGCCTCCACCCCAGGGTATTTGCATGGTTTACCCAACACAAAGGCCTAGGGGCCTGTGCTGTTCCTCCTGCCTCCTTAACCTGAGGCATGGACAGGCCAAGTGAAATGGCTCAGGGTGAGGGGTCGTGCTCACAGGAGGGGCAGCCTTGAAGAAAAAGCAGCCTTAATAACACTGAACCCTAAAGTGAGGAGACCAGAATGTGCGTCTGCCTCCCCAGAAGCATGCGTCGCAGCTACAAAGTGGTGGCCTTAAAAGACACCCGAGAAGCAGAAGCAGTGGTAGACTGTCCCCGCAAGGAGCCATGGGGGGAAGAACACACCTCAGGCACAATGGCCCAGCAATGCCCAGCAGGCAGTGATGGGCTGCAGGTCCCTGGGTCCCAGGCAAACCCGGGGCAGAAGGCTGCCCCACACGGGCTCGTCCTGCCTCGGTTCCCCTGCTGAGCCAGGCACGTGGGGCCTTGGGGTGTCTGGGTCTGAATACAAATCTGGCCTGAGGCTCCTGACAGGTCCACACGTGAATGCTTCTCTTGATAGAGAAACCTGACCTTGGGTGTCAGAGGCCCAGGCAGGCCCAGCCCCGTTCAGATTGGGTGGCCTTGGACAAGACACCATCTCCCCACCTCCCTTCTTCAAGAGGACAGGGCCGCTCCTTGAGGGCAGCGAGTGGTGGGCCTAACTCATGGCACGTGGCTTTCTATGCCTGCAGCATCATGTGATCTGATGTGCTCACACAAACAGGCTGAGCTCAGGGCGAGGCCCAAGGTACCTGGGAAGAGGTCCTTCCTGGAAGCTAAGCTCGGTCAGCGACTGCAGGACGTGAAGTGGTGGGGAGAACACTTCACTGAGAGTCAAACACGCTCTGGCTTCTTGATGTGAACTTAAGTCACCTATGTTTCTTCATCAGCCAAATTCCCTAGGTCTCTCCTCTGTCCCTTCACCTAGCAGGCGCCTAGTGGTACATTTGGAATGGACACATCTGATCTGCCCTAGGCACCACTGTTAGGGAGGTCTCCCATCCCACTTAACGAAGGCCAGGTGAGGCTACAGGGCATGAACACGGAGGGCAGGTGACCTGGGGGAAAGGGAGAGCACCCTCCTGTGGCCTGCCTTGCACTCTGGTGCTGTTGGAAGGAGACACGTGGGTGGGCAGGACACACGGGGAGGCTGGCATCACAGCCCTGGTCTGGATGTGGTAGCTCCTCTGTCCCAGTTTTCTGGGACCTGTTTCAGAACCCCTTTCCTGTGGTTCCCAGCCAGCAGGGGGCCTTCGACTTGCGGCCACTTTAGGCTGACCCTGCTTGTCTGGGCATTTACCCATGAGGGACTCTGGGTGTTTTCTGGGAAAGTATTATGCTTTTCTTCTTCTTGTCCGTCTCTCTGCACACTAATTCTATTAAATATCTGTCACATGAAGAGTCTGTTTTGTCTTTGAGCGCACGGATGGCTGGATGCCTTCAGAGAGTATAAGTTTGGTGGTGGCGGGGGTCCCTGAGTATCCCTCAATCGCATGCGTGCTGTCTTCTTTAAGCCCGGGGGCAAAGGAAAGGGGTGGCTGAAATGCCCTCCTAGTAGGCCCCTTCCCTCCACCCAGCCTGGGTTTACCTGCTGGCGCACTCACCTGGGGGCAGGGTTCCCCTTTGCTTCACACTCAATCAGGATGTTGTCCCGGGGGTCCACAATGTGGTCCTTCACCGACTGCTTGGTGATGGTCGGGGGCTGGGACACTGCAGTGGGGCACAGGGCAGGCAGTCAGGGCTGCAGGGCCCCGCTTGGGCCCTGGCTTGGGGAATGGCTGAAATCAAGAGCCTCAGGAACCACAGCACAAATGGGGGATGCACAGTGCCTGTTTGAGAGACCCTGCTCCCTGAGCAGGCTTGCAGGAAGGGGGTGCACGTCAAAGACTGAGGATAAGAAGGCGCCCTTCGACATCTCACAGACTCCCAATGAGGAACAGAGGGACGGGTGGCAGTTTGCCCTCCTGGTACCCCAGTGCTTAGCACAACATCCAGGGCATGACAGTTCTTGATAAATGTTTGTTGAATGAATAAAGGACTAAAAAGTAGCCAGGTTTTGAGAACTTCGGGGCCATGATCTATCTGAACCTTTGAGGGTCAACAGATGGCCCAACTGTGGTGAGGCTGGGGCTGAAAGACGAAGCCTTAGTCCCCAGAGAACTCCGCAGGGACAGGTCTCCTCACTACTGCCCTGGCTCCAGTGGACTTTCCGATACTGTGTCAGCGCTGGAGGTTGGGGGAGCAGGGCCCTTCCTACCCGCCTGCTCCTCTGCCTTTCCCAGCAGAAGGATGCTGGGGTGAGGCTCTTTCCTTCCTGCAGGGAGAGGCCCCATGGCAGGGCTCAGGTGTCAAGAAGCCCCCCAGGCAGGGTGAAGAGGCCGCGAGTCCCCAGGTGTCTCACCTGGCCTTCCCGCCGCAGTCTGCCCGCCACCTCCCAGAGCCCGCGTGCAGAGGCGCCCAGGACTTACACTCACTCTGAATGCTGGCTGTTAGTCCCGCAGGTTAGCATTGGGAGGGAAAAGAAGACACAGTTATCTCCCACCTCTGCTCTCCCCGGTTCCTCACACCCAGCGTGCAAGGAGAGGGGTGAGCTGGCAAGGTGCACGGAGCTCTCCTCCCAGCTGCAGGCTTGGAAGAGCCAGATGGGCTGGGGACGCAGCCAGTGCACACTCCTGGGGAGACCAGCTTCTGACCACGTGAAGGTGTCGCCAGGGACGTCCCAATGTCCACAGTGACAGAGCGCGGCTCTGAAGAGCTGCCCGCATGTCTGGAAGCCACTGAGGGCACCGGTCTCTGGCCAGCAGGGCCAGGCTGAGGTTGTGGGGCCAGGAAGGGGAGGTTGGAGGCACAGCCACAGGCGAAGCCCAGGCTCAGAGGCCCGAGTGCCCACCAGGTCACATGTCTCTCGCACCAAAGTGCCCTCGGCCGCCCTCTGGACAGATGAATGCTCGTCCTGTGCTCACGGTGGACATTGCCTGTGCTCTGGGGCGAGCAGCACGCTGCCTTCTCTGGGCATCTGACAAAGGGGTGCAGGTGGGACACAGGTCTCCCGGCCCTCACCTGAGAGGAGGTGTGCTCGTCACAGCGCATATGTGAGCTCTGGGTTCCACAAGCTTTGACAAGCCTGTGAGTGACCTGGGGGGTCTGACTCAAACGCAGGTTTTGATTCCCTTGGACTGGGGCCTGGGGTTCTGCATTTCTGACAAGCAGCCAAGTGATGCCGCTACTGGTGGTCGGGGAGCACATTTTGACTAGCAAGGTCTCGGATAAAACTCACAGGAAAGGAAGCACGTGTTGCCATAACGTCTAAGATGTCTTTACGATAACGTCAGACAGCGACGCGCCTCACATCCCGGGCTGGTGTGGCTGCGAGATGCCGTGCTGATGGCCAGGGCAGACTTTTGGGGCAAGGCCATGGGGAGAAGTGGTCACGTGAGGTGGAAGCGGGGCCCTGGCTCGGAGAGGGCTGCCTGGAGAAGGCGGTGCTAAGACAGGACGACAGAGGCACGGGCGTCCCGGGAGTGAGGACAGACGTGGGTGGGGTGTGTGTGGCAGGAACAGGAGACCTGTTCTACACTTTCAGGAGATGGAAGTCCTGAGAATAAGACCCAGGTGGACGCAGGATTCGTGGCGCGGGACAAGGGAGAGAGGAATGGCTTCCCATCTGCCTGGGGCGGCTGGGGCAGGGGACAAGGAATGGAAGAAGCAGGGAAGCAGAAGCCCCGGTTTCTGCTCAAACCCTCCCGAGGGCTTGGCATGGCAGCACCGTCACCCATATAGGGCTTTCCCACTGGGGACCCAAGAATGGTAAATTCTGGGAATGGAAGGGGGTGGGTGGAGGACAGGGCCGTTTTCAGGGGAAGAAGGGCTTACACTTGACCTTCCTCTGACCCCGCTTTCCTGGTGCCTGATGGGTAGTGGGTCTGGTGGGTCCCCACACATAGCGGGGGCTCTGGCCTCGCCCTGGGTGGCAGGCTGACAAAGGGGCTACTTTGCCACACAGGCTGTGAGCTCCTTTTTATAGACAGGCGTACAGGACGGTGACAGTTCTGAGGAAAGTGCCCTAATACTGTCCAGGGAGCCCCCAATTCCTAGAAGGAGAATCATTGCGTCCAGCCCACATGGGATGGTTGTTGCAGAACCGGGACAAGACCCGAGGCCTGATACGGAGCACTTACAGGTCCAGCCTTGGCCAGAGGGGGTGGGCTGGCCAGGCGGGGCCAAGGCTCTCTGTTCTCCACATTAGGACAGCAGAGATTCGGGGGAGAGCTTGAGGCGAAGGCTCTCAGCAGCTGGAGCTGGCTGGTTGCTCCCCTTAGCCCCCGCTGAAATTGGGCCAGAGGCCTCTTGAGTGTCCATTTGCTAAAAGGAGGACTGATACCCGCAGTCCCCATGTGCCACTGAGGAATTCATTGCAGGGGAACAGGCAACCCAGGAAGAAGCCACCGGAGAAAGTGGGGACCATCTGTCTAGGGACAAGGGCAACCTGCCCAGTCCTGTGGCCCCACATTACCCGCCTGCCCTTCTCTTCACTGGAACACGCAGGGTGAGGGCAAGTGCAGGGGGAGTTTGTTTTTCTGGCTTCCAAGAGAGAAGAAGCCCCTTCCACTGGGCTCCACCTGGACGCAAGGTCTCTCTGTCCTGGCACCTCTCTCCTTTCCCTGACTCTGACTCTACAGAGCCCGTGCCTCGGAGGATGGGGCACGTGTGAGCATGAGCTGTCAAGCTGTCCTCAGCGCTATTTGGGAGGAAGCTGGGGGAGAGCATTTCTCCCCCGACTCCTGTCCTCTGCGAGTCTAGGAGAAAAATGCCGAGTCCTTGACACAGGGAGGAGGACAGAGGGGCAAGCTGCCCACAGACTCACTTCTGGCCAACCAGCCCTGGGTGATGGTGCGACCCTTTGCTTTTTCCAAAGGTCACGCTGTTTTCCAGGGCCGGGGTAGGTGGGGGTGCACGTGACTCAGCTGGCAGAGCCCAGGGAGTTGGAAGCCAGCACGTCTGTGGGGCTTGTGGGCAGCCTGGGACTCCCCACGGCAGGGGAATGCCCCTGTGCTCTGGGCACAGATAACGCCCCCTCCCCTAAGGAGCAAGTGAACGGCGGGCACGCTGGCAGGGCAGCTTGTGGCTGGGGTCACCTCTCAGTGCTTGCTCTTAGGTCATTTCCATATTGGGGTGTAGGGAATAGCTGCAGTAAAGGGGGCTGCAGGTCTCTCTCCTGCCATCTGTGTCAACATGGAAGGACCGGGAGGGCTCTGTGCTAAGTTACACCAGTCAGAGGGACAGATGTTGCACTTCTCACTTATAAGTGGAATCTGAGATAAAATCAAACTCAAAGAAATGGGAGAATGGTGGTTGCCAGGGAATGGGGGGTTGTTGGTCCATGGGTACAGGGCACGTCTGGAGATGGGCGAGCAGTGAGGAGTACGGCCCCATCACACACTTGAGAGCTGCTAAGAGCAGACATAAACGTCATGGCACACAGATGGAGGTCATACGAGACGACAGAGGCCTGGCTGGACTTCCCGTGGTGACATGTCACACACATGTCCAACCATCGGGCTGTGGCCCCAAACTCACATGTGCTCTAAGTCAATCGTCAGGGCGGGGATGGGCTGAGTATCTGGACAGCGAGTGCCTGCCGGGCTGAGGCGGGACCCTTGGCGAGGAGGGCCTCATCCTTGAAGTGCTGGCTGCTGTCTCCTGTGTTGGGCTCTGCCGTCGCCAGGGCCGTGGCCCTGCAGCAGCAGGGTAAGCACAGGTGCATGAGGGGTGTCCGGAGGCAGCGCCCCCGGGGCAACCTGCTTCACTCAGGGCAGCACAGCAGCCTCCGAGGCTGGCTGGGCTCTGCCACTGACGGGCCAGGGAATCGGCTTGTTTTTCTGCACCTCAGTTTTCTAAACTGTCAGCCAAGGGCAGCGGCGACTTGATGGATTACGTGTGAGCACGTGTGATTCCAGTGAGTTCCAAGAACAGGAAGCAGGATGAGCAGGTAGGGGTGGGGCATGCTGAGTGTCAAAACGGGGGGCAGGAGGGTCCAGAGACCGGGGTTCATCTGTGACTACCACCCATTTGCTGTGTGACCCCAAGCATGTGAGGGCCAGGGTTTCCATAACACCAGGGGGCGCCCTGCAGGCCCCCTCATGACACAGAGTGGGGAGACAGTAGGGGGCGGTCCAGATTTTCCCTGCCAGGGCTATACTTCCAGGAGAGTGGCTGCGGGGCTGCCTGTGGCTCCGCTAGTGCTGCAGAAACCAACGTCATACCGTCTATTTCTAGGTCCCCCTTGCAGGATCCTCTCACCCACTGGCCTCCGGGATCAAAGTGGCAGGGGAGTGAGTGAGGAGAGGCTGCAAAGAGAAATGAGCCTTCACCACTTTCCTGATAACCCAATTTCCTCTGCACCCCCTGCCCCCCAGGGATGTGGCCTGATCTTGCTCCTTATTAGACTGTCTGCCTGGGGCTGTTAATGAGAAGCGCTCCTTGAGCCAGCGCCACAGATGGTCTCCACAGGAACAGTTCCCGTCACACACCCCTCCCCACCCTCCAAGTGCACAGGCTACACACACACACACACACGCTGCACAGGGAGCCCTGCCTGCCCTGCTCCTGTCCCCCTGTGGTGACAACTGGCCTTCTCTCACCCAGGAGTGCCCGCTCCTCTGGGCAGCTGTCACTGGTGAAGTGGGTGAGGGGCTGAGACCCCCGCTGCTCTCCTCCTGCTAGTTCCAGGCCAGGGTGTGGCTGAGGAGGGTCAGCGGGGGTTCTTGGAGGCCTCTCCCGCACCTCCCTGGGCAACTGTCATCTGGACAGAGCCCCAGGCCACATTGGCATCATGTGGTCCCCTCTACTCCTAGAAGCGGGAACAGGCACAGAGGTGGTGTGCCCAGACCTTGGCACTGGGATGCCATGATGTCCTGGCCCAAGTGCCAGAACGTGGCAAAGGCGGCACGCTCCTAACCCAGGGCCAGGAGCAGGAAACGTACGGGTGGCAGTGCCGCAGCTGGAGGGCCCGCTATGCCATCCGCATTCTACATCCTGTGCTTATGACCCTGATGGCCCACCGTGCAAAACAGAACATGGGCTTTTAAACTCTAGAGGGAAGCGGCAAAAAAGATCAGTGCCCGGTCTCCCACAGTATCGTTATCAGGGGGCTCTGCTTTCATATCCCGTTAGCCAGAGTCTAACAAACCCTTTCCCAACCCGCCCCAGGCAATTGTCCTCCTGGTCACTGCAGCCAGGGGGGCCTGCAGGGTTCAGCTCTGGAGATGTCAGATATGAGGCGAACAAGTAAGAACCATCCACCACTCTCGGAAACTCCACTGTGATGGGTGAGTCAAGACCACGAGGACCGCAGGAGGGCAGGAGGGCTTCTGCGTGGCACACACCCCTCTGCCCCGTCTGGCCTGCCGGGCAGGCTTCAGGCAGCCAGTACCCGTAGCCGCAGTCCCGAGTGACCAGCGTTGTGACTTGGTCTCAAATCCCCAATCCACCCACTGGCAGCGATTCCCTGGAGGGAAACCCAGCTCTGAATTCGGAATCCACTGCTTCCCCTCTCCCCAGCCGCCCTCATGTGCTTTTAGGTCTTCCCTGACCATCCTGACCCGCCAACTCCCACCCCCAAATCAGGAGGACGGAGGACAGAGCAGCACTCACGATCCATGGGGATCTCGATGGCCCCGCTGAGGCTGAGGAGACAGAGGAGGAGGGCTGCATGGACCCAGGGTGGCGGTGGCGGCAGCTGGGCCATGCTCAGCACCGGGCCCTGCTCTCTGCTCCCCTGCCCTCGGGGTCTGGTCGCGTCCCGCCGCTCTCCCTGGGCGCTCTGGGCAGAGCTCAGCTGTGGAAGGAAACACACGGTAAGTGAATTTTCCTTACTTGGGGTCTGTGCTGGCCTGGAGGGCGGGAGGGTCCCCTGGTCACACACCAAAATTCAAAAACACGATTTCTTAATCTTACGAACTGATATTTAGAATCCAACTGCCCCTCAGGTAGGGAACTAGGAGGGGTGGCTGGGGGAGTGAGGGGGCAACCTTGCCTCTGCACACGAGATGCCAGTAAAGCCTGCTCCTGCCCCCCAACCTTTCAGTGTCTCTAGACGCTGCCACCTGCACTCTGAGGGCAAGTGCACCCCCAGTTGAGGAGCGCTGTTTAGAAGGAAGGACCACACAGCAGAGTCCATGGCACAAGCACTGGCCCGCACACCAGCACCTGGTGGTGGCCACGAGCTGGGCAGGGACACACCAGCCTCACGCCACACGGAAGGGGCAGAGTGTGTAGGGGCAGGGGCAGGGCTAGGAGACACGATCATGGATGGCCTGTGAGGCAGGGAGGGATCAGGGGCGAGAGAGGGGCAGACCCGGTGCCCAAAGGGTTTGTTTTTCATGCATCATTTCTGCAAATACTTTGTGCAACTAAGGCATGGTGGTCCCTGATTTACGCCCCCAGCGAATGGGGGTGCTGAGGCTATGGCTCAGGACAAGGGGGCTCCTGGGGCTTGGCAGCTCAGACTGCTCAGTGCTCGCATCTCAACCACAATAAATCATTCCAGGGCTTAGAATGGACGGGTTAGAAACAGCTGGAAAGGGCCCTTAAGAGACAAATCTCTTTCCCCTCCTCCTGAGAAAAGAGCAGGAATGGCCTACGGCTGATGCTCAGGTACAGAGTTTTAGGCTTGACACAGTCTTAAAGGTCAGTCCAGTTTGCTGCTCCTCCATGGAGCCAAGTCAAAGAGGACAGTGGGCGGGAGGTGAGGACCAGGCAGGCGCAAAGGCGCTACAGCGAGGGGAGGCTGGGCTTGAACTAAACCCCGGCGCGTGCACTGGCGAGGGACACGGCGTGTTATATTTGCCCTTTAACATAACAGCTGTGAGTGGAGGATGAGAATCGGAGGTAAGAGAGGACTGGGGAGATCGCCGAGGAACTGCTGCTGTACCGGGGGGGGGGGGGGGGGAGGGGGGTTTACAGTGGAGGTTTCCCAGGATCCTCGGCTCGCGGACCCTCGGCTCTGGCTCCCAGCTGCGCAGCCTGCCACCTCCCATGTGTCTTCGGGCTAGGCAGGCAGGGGCAGGGCGCAGGCTTGCTCCCGAGAGGCAAGGCCATCCTGGTAGAGCTGGAGATGGGGTCTCCCCCGTGCCCAAGCAGGGCAGCCGAAAGGGTTCTGACTCAGAGTTTAGCAGCTCTTCTGCAGGATCCGGGCCCAGCACCAGCCCGCAACCTCTCCTGCCTCCGCCCACTGCATCTGCCTCGGTTTCGGTCATCACGGTCCCACTCCCGTTACAGCAGCAGTTCCTAGGGGGTCTCCCCACTCCTTTCTCACCTGCGATTCTCATCCTCCACTCACAGTTGTTATACCAAAAAGTGCAAATATAAACACGCCGTATTCCTCACTGGCGCACGCGCCAGGGTTTAGTTCAAGCCCAGTGTCCCCTTGCTGCAGCCCCTTTGGGCCTGGTCCTCATCCTGCACCGGCTGGGTCTGCTGTCAGGCCTCCCTGTGCCTGCTCTGCGTGCCCGACTCTGCACAGCCCGAGTCCTGCCTACAGCTCTGAGACTCTGTCCGTCCTCATTAGGATTTGCCAACTTACATGTCCCTGGTCTTCTCTCCTGAATGCTATTTACTGCACCCGTCATCGCACTTTCCACTTTGCATTCATTCCAAAAGCCACTCGTCACATCCCTGATAAAAGTGAAGTCTCTACGAAGGGAAGTTACCCATCTTATTTATTCCTAGAATCGAAACCCTAGCAGACACTCAAAAGTATGTGATGTGTGGATGGAAAATGAACAAATAAATGAATGAAATAAACCACCTGGAAGACTACTTTTAAAAACCTCGCATTTCCCCCGTGAACCACCAGGTGGTGCAGGAGAGCACGCGCATGGGGCCTGGCAGCCACCAACCAGCAGAGTGGAAAAGCTCCCTCCCTGCGCAGGCTCTGCTTTCTGGCCAGGGAACCATCAGCTGGAAGAAGGTGGAGGGAGCTTAAAATCTCCCCAGAAGGGCGCCCCTGGCTAGAAGGCATCATGGGAGGTCTCTGGATGCTCCTTCTCACACTGTCTCGGGAAGGGCCTGCCAAGGCCTCCCAGGGGAACCTGCGCCTCAGTGCTCAGCCTCAGGTAGGGCAGCCGACACTTGAGTCCTGAGGGGACTGGCTCCAGGGGAGCCCCACGCTCCTTCAGGGAGGACGCTGGTGGTTCCAGCCTGGGCGCCGTGGCCGCCATGTTTCCTTCAGGCCCTGCCAACAGGTAGGAGGTGATGGGAAAGAAGAGGATGTGGTATTCTGGGAATCCTAATGGAAATAGGAAGGCAGGAGCTATTTATTAAAGAGGAACACACTGTCAGGAGAAAAGTCCAACTATTTGGGTGCTTTTAACTCATCACTTAAAAACAACGTAGAAAAAGAACAGAAATAATTGCATTGAGATGTTTGACAATTCTCGCTCCCTCTTCTCTCCAGTTTCACCAGTAAAATCTTAAAAGAGGTAGAAATTCAAAGATCACTGGATTGTATCCTCTACTTTTCAAATGAGGAAACAGAGCCCAGAAAGGGGGAGTGACTTGTTCAAGGTCACCCTGCTGGTCACTGGCAAAGCTAGTAAAGGAGCCCAGGCTGTCAGCTTCTGGCTTGCCCCATCCATTTCCTGGTCTCTTCATATGCATGAATGGCCAGGGGCAAAGCTGCTCTTTAAAAATAATGACATGTATAGTTTGGCAGTTTCTAAAATAATTGAACATAGAGTTAGCATGTGACCCTGTACCTTCACCCTGGGTATAATTCCCAGAAGGAATAGAAACAAGTCCACGTACACCCAAGTTTAGAAAAGCTTCATTCACAATAGCCAAGGTGGAAAACGCCAGTGCCCCGGTGCCTACCAGGAAAGGATGGAAGAGCAAACCACAGTTCTCGAGTGCACACACACGTGTGAGCGTGTGCACACACACACACACACACCGTGGGGTATTACTCAGAGAAAAGAGGTGGCTGCTGGCACATGTACAATGTGGGCAAACCCCACACAGGCTCCGTGAGGGAAGCCAGGCGCAGAAGGCCGCCTGCTGAACGCACCATTCACACGGAGACCCGACAGTTAAGTCCACAGATCCAGGCCACAGGCTGGTGGTGTTCAGAGCAGCAGGGTTTGGTGTGGTGGGGGTGAGGGGGACAGTTTAATGTGTACAGGGTTGCCTCTGGGGGTGACAACTGTGTCTGGAAGTAGGCGAGGAGTGAGTGCACACATGGCGAATGCAGGAAGCTGTGGGACTGTTCACTCTAAAATGGGTAATTTCATGTGAATTTCAGCTAGCAAAGAGGTGCGTAGTGTTGGTCCCTATAATGTGCTTCTGAAAGGGCAGAGTTGGTGCAGGGGCACCCGTCCCTGTAGGGACCCTCAGCCTGGAAGGCAGGCACCTGGCAGTGCTTCCTACACAGCACGAGGGCATTTCCATCCACAGTAAAAGAAGGGGAGTAAAATGGGTTCGGAGGATGGGGATCTAGGGCTCAGAGGGCCCCCACACAGTGTGAGGCAGAGACACCTGCCTGGAGCACCCCCGGCCCATCCTGAGAACCAGGGAGTAAGGGAGAGGTAGGGCTTCTGACCTAATCTAGTCTCCTTCCTGCACCTCCCAGCACACAGTGGCCCCGGTTCCTTTCCTGGTAACGGGAGGCATCAGCATGGTGGGGAGGTGCCCAGCCAGATGGCGGAGGATTCCAGCGGATGCCATCCACCCGTGGAACAAGGAAAACCTGTGTCCTGCGAGAGGGGCCCAAGACGGCTGTCTCTGGGTGCTGGGAAGAAGAGGACCAATTTCTTTTAGCTCCACAGGGGTAAAACCTGGACCAAATAGGAGGAAGCCCCAGAAAGGCAGGTGCTTCTCTGAGATGCAGGAAGAACTACGTAGCGAACACAGGAACCACGCTACAAGCCCCCCCACAGTACAAGTGTGACATGTGTGGGGGACACTTTCATGTGGAGTCGCCCGGGCCAGAGGTGGACAGAAGGGGCTACTGCAAGGGGGAGGGAGGAGAAAAACCAGGAGAGATCTCAAGTGGCCCGATGGTGAACTATGACCCGGGGCAAGATCTGTTCAGTATTTGTGTATCCGCAACCCCTTAATGTCTGAACCCTCAAACTTCTGAATAGGGGTCAAATCAGGTCTGCAGATTGAAAACATATTTTTGAATTTGAATGCTTTGAAAAGCTGTTCTCTTGCATGGGTGCTGCACAGGCTAGGCAACCCCAGGGATCTAAGGCCTCTAGGTGTGCAGGCCTAGAAGACTCGGGTTCAAACGTCCGCGATGGGAAACACATGCTTTTGGTGATGAGCCGCCTGGTGGGGACACAGCAGCCTCAAGCTCAGGAGCTCTGGCTGCACACAGGGGCTGCCAAGTTCACAGTCACTCCCCGTGCTCCAGTGGGACTCTCAGGCCAACACTGCACCTTCAGCGCTTTGCATTTCTCATCTGAAAAAAATGGGGTACTATCACCTCTTCCAGAGGGTGGCTGTGACGCCTAACACACACGCCTCTAGAAAACACCAGGGGTCCCTCTGGCTCCCCCTCCCTTGCAGAATGTCTCTGATTTATAGCTGCCTGTTAATTTTATTATTATTGTTATTTTTTTCCTGATCCCTTATTTGGAGATATTTTTCTTTTTCCTTTTGACCATAATCTCTTCCAGCTCCATCCATTAGAGGTGCCAGGGGTGATAAGATTTTGAGACAGAGTGGAAGCAGGAAGAGCACAAGGGACCGTGGTGATGGCACATGGGTGACATGGTGGTGGGAATTTTACAGGGACCACACCTGAGAGGAGAAAGTATACATTGCACAAAAATGAAC